TCACCTTGATGACTTGATAAGACCACGAAACAAAAAAAGCAGCTTAATTTACCTTTTTTTTCTTTACTCTGATTTGCGCTAGCTAGCATTTGTTAAATATTTAATTACAAACTTATAATTATTAATTAAATAGTTATTAATTAGTAAATAAGTAAATTAGTAAATTATAAATAATAATAAAGTTTCAGTGAAATTTTAATGAATCATTCATGTATGTATGTATATATGTATGTATACTCTACACAAACATACACAGACACACACCACACACACACACACACACACACACACACAACAAACACAAACACACACATATACATATTATTTATTTATTTATTCAATTAGCCATCTTTTTATGATTAGATGTGTGTGTTATTGAAACAGAAAGAGATTGAATGATTAACAATGAATGATTTGTGATGAAATGATCATTGTCATCATCATCTTTTTTCTCTACTTCTTCTTCTTCTTCGTCATCATCATTCTGATCACTACTACTACTACTACTATCGCCATTCACGTGATTATCATTATGAGTAACGTACTTAGAAAACTGTATTTTACTACCGTATATTCTAACTGTATATTAATTTGGGACTGTAGTTCGATTGTTTTGTTACAGTAAGGGGAACTTCTTTTTTTTGACCGAAAAGATAAAATCCAAATGAAATCAATCAATCTTCTATTTATACTCTATACTTCTGAACTACCTTGTATTATTATTAACTTTTCTTTCTCTAGTCAACTATATGCTGATGATTCTTACATTTATACTTCTTTTCCTCCATCTAATCTCAATAGTGTTCCTCATAATTTATCTCTATGTCTTTCTTCAATTATCGCTTGGTCTGACTCTATGTGTCTTAAACATAATCCTTCTAAGTTTGAATTAATTTGTTTTAATAAATCTAAACACTCTATTACTATTCCTCCTATTATCTTACCTGATTCTAAAACTCTTGATGTCTCTCATAAGTTTCGTAGTCTAGGTTTTATCTTTGATTCTACTATGTCTCTCTCTTCTCAGATTAATAGTGTTGCTAGAAGCTCTTACTTTCATCTACGTAGAATAAAAAAACTTTTGCCTTTTCATGATGATCCTACTCTTCTCCTTCTTGTTTCTTCGTTAGTCTTATCTAGGATTGATTATTGTAACTCGCTCTACTATGGTCTTCCTGACTCTATACTCTATCCTTTAAGTAAAGCTTTTAACTCTGCTGCTCGTCTAGTTGCTCGTGCCCCTTTCTTTTCTCATATATCTCCATATCTTGTTCTCTTGCACTGGCTACCTATAAAATATAGAATAATTTTTAAAATTTGCACGTTCATGTATAAGTCTCAATCTAAATTATTTCCTAAGTATTTATCAGATATATTAATTGAACCTAAACGCCCCGGTTTACGATCGTCTTCTTCTTCTCGCTTTTTCTTAACTCGTGTTAAACACTCTTTTGCCAAATCTGCTTTTGCTTTTTCTGGTCCTTTTCTCTGGAACTCTCTACCTACTTCTCTGACTACTTCTCCATCACTTGCGAAGTTCAGAGCGGATCTCAAGACCCATCTGTTTTCAAAATTCATTGAGGAGCGCTGTTGAACATCGCGGAAATAGCGCTTTATAAGCTAATTGATTGATTGATTGAATCTAAAATTATTAATTATATATCAGAGTGTAAATAAGTTAGATGTAAAATATAATGAACGATCCTCTCATGCCCTTTGATCAACAAATGTTTGAGAGTAAAAAAAAACAATAAAAATAATGATGATGATGATAGTAGGCGTTTTCACTTTCTTGGTATGTGACACAGTTGATCAATCCTCGTTTTTAGTCTCCATACGTTATGGGTCTGACTTTTTTATTCTATTCATCAGTTTCTGTCTCCAAGCCGATCTCTCCATTGTGTCTGTCTTCTTGAGACCAAGTGCCTTCAAGTCCTCCTGTATAGTCTGCGTCCTGGACTATTTGGGCAACTTCTTGTTTGAAAGCTGCTTTCTTATTTCGCACCGTCTTGTTCCACCGCCAAATTTCGCGGTTGTGCTGGCGTTTTGGTCCAGATTTTCCACATACATTTCGTTGCAACGTTTACTAGGGTGTCCTGAAAAGATTTACAGGTTATGTCTGCCTTCTCCAGGCGATCCAGCTGTGCCGATACCCTAATTTCTCCCTGAACAACAATCTCACAGTTGATGATAATGAAAACTCATGCTACAATTACTATTTTTCACTATTCTTATTATTAATTTATTTAATTAGTTTGATATATATCATTTTTATGTTGAATTCTGAGTTAATTTCGACAATTTTACCTTCGTTTTTGTGTGTGTGTGTTGTGTGTGTGTTGTGTGTATGTGCGTTAAATGAGTGTTTTTTGTGTGTAGTTGTTTTTAGGCGTCGTTGTAATTAATTAGTAATAAAACAATTCAAGAGCATCAAAGCGTTAAACGTCACTCAATTTTCAAGTGAATGATAAAGACTATGTAAACCTGATAAAAAAAAGATTAAAAGGTTCAAGGTTCAAAAATCCAAGATTAAAAGATTTGGTTTGGATGGTAACAAATAATTATAATTGATATTGAAAACTATAAAAATAAATTATATAATAATAACAATAAATTTATAATAGTAATAATAATGGTAATAATAATAATAATAATAAAGAAATGAACTCTTAAACAAATATTTATAAAACTAAACAACGAAAAAGGCAAGTTAGCATAATGCAAGTTAAGTTAGTATATATCTATCAATATGATGCAATTTTTCAAAATTTTAAACCAGTGATGCGTTTTCAGCGGTTCAAATTACTAATAACAGCGACAACAACTGAGATTATTTTTTCTAAATTTAGATGATAGAATTATAAAGGAAAAAAACACATTGAAATGATATGAAATACACGCAGGAACTGTGTACCAAGATTCAAATACGCTTTTAATATGAAATATAAGTATTAAATAAATCTCAATATATAAATTAATTTATTCTTGAAAAAGTGAATAAACACACACACACATACAAACACACACACACACACGCCACACAAAAACACACAAACATATACACACACACACGCCACACACAGCAAATACACACACAAACACGCACATACATACTCGTACACAAACATACAAATGCCTACACTACACATACTCACGCACATATAAATCTTTAAATTCATTCATTCATACGCACACACGTTTTTCAAAGGAACGCCTTCACGAAATCTCATCGAAATTCCCGCTCATGCTAAATTTATAAACTGAAAAGTTTTTGATATCCTTACCAAAGGTTTTTATGACGAAACAATTGAAAAGATTTTTATTTAAACCATGGTTTTTTTAAGTTTGAAAGTTGAGTGGGCGTTAGTATAAACTGATACATATTGAATTTAAGATTTTGTTTCATTACACTGGTAATGAATGAATGAGTGAGTGAGTGAAGGAATGAATGAATGAATGAATGAATGAATGAATGAATGAATGAATGAATGAATGAATGAATGAATGAATGAATGAATGAATGAATGAATGAATGAATGAATGAATGAATGAATGAATGAATGAATGAATGAATGAATGAATGAATGAATGAATGAATGAATGAATGAATGAATGAATGAATGAATGAATGAATGAATGAATGAATGAATGAATGAATGAATGAATGAATGAATGAATGAATGAATGAATGAATGAATGACTGAATGAATGAATGAATGACTGAATGAATGAATGAATGAATGAATGAATGAATGAATGAATGAATGAATGAATGAATGAATGAATGAATGAATGAATGAATGAATGAATGAATGAATGAATGAATGAATGAATGAATGAATGAATGAATGAATGAATGAATGAATGAATGAATGAATGAATGAATGAATGAATGAATGAATGAATGAACAAACGAACGAATGTATATATCAATAAGTGAATGAATGAAGAGATAACTATTATATTGATTAGATGTAGAGATAACTATTATATATGTGTGTTATATATATTTGACATTTGACATTTTTTATTTCATCAAATCAAAACAAAGAAATCAAAGAAATGATATCAATGAAAAGAAATGATCTGGAAATCGAAAAGAAAATATGGTTTTCTTGTAATGATTACCAGTGACAATTGTAAAAATGAGAGTACATTTTAAATGTTTTGGTGCATGTTAACTCACATTCATATTACAAATTCTAAAAAAATGGAATCATAATTATTAAGTAATCAACTCTTTTACATTTTTATCAGAATGTCGTTTGTAATTATTGAAACACACACACACACACACACACACACACACACACACACACACACACACACATATATATATATATATAGACCCACGTAAAACATACTTATTCACACACACACACATATATATATATAAGCACACACATACACACGTACACACACACACACGTGCATATATATATACGTATATATATATATATATATATACATGTATGTATGTATAAGAATTTGTGTATGTATATATGTTTATGTGTGTATAATTCATGTATGTATATATGTATATGTGTGTATAATCTTGAAGAATTGTGTTAACGTATTAGTAATCCCGATTTAGAAATAACAGAATAAAGCCCCTCTAGTCTAAACACTACGCATGCACAGGCACACGTATTGCATTGTTCATACTGCTCATTTGTATTTGTGTGGAATTTTTAATATGTTTGTATGATGTTTGTATATATGTATGTATGTGCGTATAGGGCGTTCATAAGTGTATGTACGTGCGTATACTGCTTATGCACGGGAGTCAGCGTTATTACTCATTCGACTTTCCAATGGAAGAATAGTATAAAAGGAACGGCTTTAGTCAAAATTTATCAAACACTCTGAAGAAAAGTAATATAGATAGAAAATTAATTTGAAAGAAATTGTATTTGAAAATAATTTAGTATTAAATAATATTAGTAGTTTTATATAAAAAAATTATATTCATTTATATTTTTGTTAATTTAAACGTTGAGATGAAATTTTCAAATTGTCTTCTCAGTGCCATCGTCGGGGTCATCGTGGTGGCTTCCTGTGGTCAGTGCAGTGTCCTGCCTTTCAAGAAAAACTTGATAGCAAGGTATTTATTATTCGTTCGCTATGGTATATTAGATTTTCTAATAATTTATTTTATTTATAATAAATTCGTTTAGTATTAACTAATTATTAAAAATAATATGTATGATCAAAATACGTTATTATTGAAATGCATGGAGCCTATCTATATTTTAATTGGCAACGTATATCTAACCATGTCGCTAAGTTGAACGCTCATTGTTAAGTTTCTTCTATTGACGATAAGGTTGTTGTTAATATGGGATTTATTAAATATTTTGCTGGATATTTGTTTAATTTTAATATTAAAATGAATTAATACACGACAATGATTACATAATAATGTTGAAATGTTAAATTTTAGTGGAATTTAAATTAATCGTTTCAAATTGTACTAATAAATTGAATTTAGAAAGTGTTTAACGTAAAATTGAAAGCGATAAAAGTTATTGTTATTGAACTTTCAAGAAGTGTAGGTACTTTGAAGATATTAATTTTAAAGTAATTAGAAAAATAATTTAAAAATTACAATTTAATAATCTTTTAATTTTATAAGTTCAAATTCATTTTTGATCAAATTATTAGACGGTTGAATTTTAAACCATTTTTGAATCAAAGTAGAAATATTAGTTTTGAAAAAATATAGCAGTAAGCGTAATTTGTCGTTTCAACAATTAATTTGTATTTTCATTCATTCTTATTTTTTTAACTTTCCTCCATTAATAAATTGAATATATCAACAAAACTAATAAATAATTGATCCAATTAATTAGCGTCACAACTAACCAACCATCTACAGACATTTTTTCAACCTGTTCAATGATGATTCATCATCATCAGCAGCAGAACCAACCACAGTAGGCCTACCAGCTGTATCTTTCTCTCCCTCATCACCATCAGCAGCGGAAGCAACGTCGTTATCTTTCGACGACATGAATGATGTCATGCAGACAGCAGTTGACGTTAGTAAGATGAACGAACAAATTTCAATGTTCGGTAAGCACGAGAGAAACAAAAGAGCTGACAGCGACTTCAGTGGCCACAGCCAGGACAACGACGATGTTACGAGCAATGACAACACCAATCATGTTATCGCTTCAAATATAAACTCAAAAGCACTTTCGTCGTCTCCACTCAATCCATCTCCCAGCGGCCAAACGAGAAGACAGAAACGTTTGGACAACACTTTGAACAAACGGAGCTTGTGCCCATGGACCATCATTCAAGACTTCCAGGCCAACAGAAATCCTCAGACAATCTACAAAGCTCAGTGTGACATCAGCGTGAAAGGTGCCTACTCCTGCGAGCACGTGTACATGAAGGTTCTAACGATGGTCTACACCAATGGGGGCTGGGTCTCTAACATGGTTGACGTTCCGGTCGGCTGCATAACTGCAGTTCCGGTCACTGCATCGGCCAGCTATGTTTCCGGTACTCTTTCGTGATGGGGCCTCTTTCGTTTAGGGTTGATTTTGATTGAGGAATGAGTTTTTTAGTAGTTTGTTTAATTTTTTTGATGTAACGTTTTTTTTATGAAACTTGTAGTTTTAAGATGTAATAAGAAAATATATTATAGCCTTCATATAAACTTCACGACAGCAGCTGAAATGCTACTTAATTAACGTAATTACGTACATGTTTGGTGAGAGTAGCGATGGTTCAATTTGGACAGTAATGTGTCACTGAAAATTATGGTTGTCGGTTATAAATTTTTTTGTGTTTGTTCACCCTTTAGTAACTTTTTCAAACATTCATTTCGTTAAATTTTGTCGGTAAGTAGGTACAATGTTAATTTTCTAAACAATTTTATATTTAGGAAATAATATTGTTTGTAACACTGCATCTAAACAGTGCTGAAATGTGCAAACCAATTCAGTATAGAAGAGAGCATTATGACGCTGCATTATAACATCATATCATTATATTACGTTCTCTACACGCATAACTTATCGATAAATAGATTGATTGATTGATTGATTGATTGATTGATTGATTGATTGACTGATTGATTGATTGATTGATTGATTGATTGATTGATTGATTGATTGATTGATTGATTGATTGATTGATTGATTGATTGATTGATTGATTGATTGATTGATTGATTGATTGATTGATTGATTGATTGATTGATTGATTGATTGATTGATTGATTGATTGATTGATTGATTGATTGATGATTGATTAGTAATTTATTTATTCATTTATCTTTTGTTTCCTTTCACATTCCACTGAGACATTCCTATATATATTTATATATATATATATATATATATATATATATATATATATATATGTATATATATATATATTGGTTATATTATATATATATATTGGTTTTGTATATATATATAAATATATATAACCTATTTTTTACATGGTCTGTTTTTCATGTAGAGCCAGGTTATATATATATAGATCAAGCAAGTCTTGATCAATATTTATTTTATACCAAACTTATTTAATTTTTTAATTTTTAAATTATTTTATGTAATTCTTTGCAAATATTTTATATAATCTTATTCACTTTATATTATTAGTTGATTCATCATCTAACTATATTTTCTAATTCATTTTTCCATTCATTCGTTTATTCGCTCATTCATTCATTCGTTCATTTATTCATTCATTACCACGTTCATTTATTCTTCTTTTCAAATATATAAAAAGAACCTTTTTAAATATTAGGAGATGCTTTTAGTAAATGACAACAACATCAACAACAACATCAACAACAACAACATCAACAACAACATCAACAACAACAACACCACCACCAACAACAACACGCGAACAATAAAATAACATAAAAAAACCCTATTTTCCTAAAGATGTAGAATATTTTTTCACGTTATTGCCTTATTTTTTCCTCCATCCATCCAAAATTTTTACAAATTTTTTGTAATATTCTATTTCAGTTTTCTATCTAGTTATTTATTGCTCTTAACTGTCCTTTTTTATGTTTTTAAATGTATCCATCTTTTCGTTTTTATTAAAAGTAGAATTCATTCCATTCAAAATTAAAAATGAAGGGGCTGAATTTCTTTCTGTGCGAGCTTTCACGCTTCACCATTTGGTTTTCCTTTGAAATGTCATGGATTTTTTATTCATTTTGAAAAATAAATCATTTAAATAATAAAAAGTTTTGTATTTTCAATATCATAATCATTATTATTATTATTGTTGTTATTTCGTAAATTCCTATTTATAATTTAATTAAAATTCACGAATATTCCCAACTCATTTTTACGCGCGCGGTGGATTATTATTATTATTATTATTATTATTGTTATTGTTATTATTGTTATTGTTATTATAATTGTTAATGTCATTCTTATTTATGCTCGCAATTACTGTGCTAAGAAACAACGGTGCTTTCGTGACTTATGCACTGATATTTATGAATGCATATCATATTTGTCATTAGTCATGAATATACATGGTACTTGCATGTCTGATTAATATGCACATGAATTTGCATAAATTATCATACATTTCCATACATGTTCATGGTTTAGCTCAACTTCAAGATTTTTTCTCAAAGCTTTTTATTTTATTTTCTATGTTTCTCTATAGAGAATATTAAAAATAAATTTATAAAAAAAATCAGTGTATTCCAACTCAATGTGTCTTTGTGCGTGTGTGTGAGTCTGCCTATGTTTGTGTGTATGTCTACGCTTTGTGTATATTTCCCAAAAACGCACGACGTTTATGTGTTGTATGTGTTTCTTTCTATGTGTGTGTGTTTGTTTGTTTGTATGTATGTATGTATGTATTTTTTTTTTGACATTTGACATTTTATTTCATCAAATCAAACAATGAAATCAGAAAAATGAAATCAATGAAAGGAAATGATCTGGAAATCGAAAAAGAAATCTGGACTTCTTGTACTGATCACCAGTGTCAATTTGTAATAATGATAAATGAGTAGCTTTAAACAAATAAAAGAATTCAAGGTACCCAAACATATTATAAAGAGTAATTCTAATATTTCAAAACTGTTCCGAAATATTAAACATAATTTAAAAAAAAAAAAAGTTCAATATACCTAAACACAATATAATGTAGGTTATAGATATTTCAATACTTCAAAATTGTTTCGAAGTTTAAAATTTAATAACACTTTGACTAACTTTTGAATCTTATCTTATAGAAATTTCACGCCAGAAGCACATACACTCACTCACGCGCACAAAAACACTCACGTAAACACACACCTGTTCATCCACACACACTCACACAAGCACAGCACTCATTCACACACACTCACACAAGCACAGCACTCATTAACACACACTCACACAAGCACAGCACTCATTCACACACACTCACATAAGCACAGCACTCATTCACACAAACTCACACAAGCACAGCACTCATTCACACACACTCACACAAGCAACCACATTCGCACACACTTAGACACACACAATGCTTACATAAACATGCTTTCCCAGATAACTAGATGGTGGTGTCGGGATCTAAGTTTGTTAAAAAGTTACGTAGCTTCCTTTTAAAGAGTTGTATACTTTTGATTTCATGTAACTGAGGAGGAAGCAGTTCAGCCCAAATTTTTGGTCCAGTAAGTTTAATACTTGATGAAAATAATTTAATACGGGTTCTTTGTGTGTAAAAGAATTGGGTGTGTCTTGTATGAGCAGATAGAATAGAATTGCTTGTCGTGTAAAGGTGGTCTAGAGGAGTAGGAAGAAGTTTATTAATAAATTTGAAAACAAGTATGGCTGTGAAATAGTAATATATAAACCTTAATGGTCGAATATTGTTATTTGCAAAAAAGGGTTTAATATGGGCAAAAGGATTAGTATTAAAGATAAGACGTATTGAACGTTTTTGAGAGAGCGTAATGTTTTATAAGTGACTTTTAGGACTGTATGTATGTATGTATGTATGTATGTATGTATGTATGTATGTATGTATGTATGTATGTATGTATGTATGTATGTATGTATGTATGTATGTATGTATGTATGTATGTATGTATGTATGTATGTATGTATGTATGTATGTATGTATGTATGTATGTATGTATGTATGTATGTATGTATGTATGTATGTATGTATGTATGTATGTATGTATGTATGTATGTATGTATGTATGTATGTATGTATGTATGTATGTATGTATGTATGTATGTATGTATGTATGTATGTATGTATGTATGTATGTATGTATGTATGTATGTATGTATGTATGTATGTATGTATGTATGTATGTATGTATGTATGTATGTATGTATGTATGTATGTATGTATGTATGTATGTATGTATGTATGTATGTATGTATGTATGTATGCCGTTGTTAAATCATTTTATGAACCAACAGCCAAACGACCGCTCGTACGTTAAACTAGTGCCAATCACATATGAGATGTGTTAACACGATATGAATAACATTCATCGTAACAACATTAACAACAACAATGTAATGGTAACAATAACAATAATAATAACAACAACCGTAATTGATATTGCCTAAAAATCAGGTGTCCTGTGTAAATTTTGTATCTTTTTTCCCCTTTTTGATACGTAGGTATGTATGTGAAGGTGTGTGTGTGTGTGTGTTTGCGTGCGTGTTTGTGTGAGTGTTTATGTATTAGTGTGTGTGTGTGTGACTGCTTGCGCATATGTAGGAATGTGAATCCAAGTTTATGTATGTGTGTATACGTATGCTTCTGTATTAATTTAATATGTGTGTGTTCACGTGTGTACCTGTGAGTAACCTAGCCACTTATAACGCTTATGAATATTTATCTTTATCGTTTGAATTTAGTTTGCCATACACGTGTATTTTTACGTGGGTATGCAATGTGCATGTGTGTGTGTGTGTGTGTGTAAGACTGGGGTGTGAGACTGAGGTGTGTGTGTGAGGTGTGTGTGTGAGGTGTGCATGTTAACTAGCTGAGATAACCACAGCCAGACGTTAATGACGTAACGTTTTTACGAGCTGAATTTTCCTGAGTCACTGTTACCTTTACGCCATTGTCACTAGTCTTAGTGTAAGACTTCATACACACAAAACCATAAACATATAGATAGATATAGAAATTTCAAAATCTATGTTTAGAATCTTTACAACCGGCCAAATTACGTTTGCATTTAGATTGATTGATTGATTCGTCACAATCTAACTGATGTGTTCATCAGTTGCACTAATTTAATGTTGTGACATGACGTAAAAAGCTATTTATGTCGTTACATGTGCACGATTCGCCGTAATGAAAAGTGAATTTAGAAATTATTTTTTCAAAACGCGCCTCTAACGAGTGGCGTTTAGTGGAAAGCTCTCTCACCGAGTCAAGGTAGCTACTCGTTAAGGGGGGTATGTCGGCAGATGACGACAGGGCTATCACCCTCACACCCATCAAAGAATGAATGATTGAGTGAGCGAGCGAATCAAGGATTGTGGGTGAGCGAACGATTGGACATATAATAAATAAATAAGATTGTTAACCGCGCAAATTAAAAATAAATAACTTAACTAACGAAAATCTAGTGATAAAAATGTAGGAAAATGCATATTGGCCCGCGTGCATGTATGTATGCATGTTTGAATTTGGTTGCATTTGTTTGCGTATGTTTGAATTTGATTGTATTTGTTTGTGTATGTTTGTATCACGTTTGATTTTTGTTTAGTACGTTAAAAATTGATTTTAATTGTCGAATTTTGCCCTTGCAATAAATTTATAAGCAAAGAAGCGGCCAAACAAATCAATTATTTTTTTGCTCGTGGCACAATTTAATTAAAGGTGTTGTTAAAGAATTAACTACATCGTAACGAAGATATTATATTTTTTTGCGATCAAAATCATAATTTTAACGTTATTTCTACAATAAAAACATTGTTGTATAATTTATTGAACTATTATTTAAATGATATTTTATTATAAATACACCCAAAGCATTGTAAAATCTTAAAAATGAAATCTCCCAAAAATCTTTAATTTGAGGTCTATGTTTACAACCCACGGCTTACCATATAAATAAAATAAATTATTTATGTTTGATGTAATATTTATTTTTGGCTACTTCCGTCGGTGATTAGCGTAGAAAAGAATTGTTGGTCGTGAAGTCTCGTGGAAATTTTTATTTTTGAAACAATTTGAAACAAATTCGGCAAAATTTTTACAAACTATAGAATAAAATGTCCTCCTACTACAACAACAACGACAGAACTTACGACTCGAGCAGTCGCTATCAAGGTTTCAGGCAGGAAAGCAGCAATAGCAGTACCAGTGGCAACTACCAGCATAGAGATAGAGACAGGAGGTTTGTTTTTAATTTATTTTATTTTTTTAACAATTTTTAAAATGATATTTAACGAATTATCAAAATTTTCCATTTTGTTTTAGTTATGGTTCTTCGCGTGGCGGAGGCGGCTTCAGTGCTGGCAGTATCGGTGGTGGCTTCAATAGGCCAAATTTTGACCGTTCTGGCAGGTCAGATAAGAGGGATTACAGCTTCTCAACGTTGGAACCTGTCGTCCAGTGGGACTTGTCTAAGCTGCCCAAGTTTGAGAAGCACTTTTACCAAGAGAATCCAATCACAGCTCACAGATCAATTGTAATTTTTTAATTCAAACTTTTATTAATTATTTTAAATTTAATTAAAATCTTAACTTTTTATTATACTATAAATATAGAAGTTTATTTATATATCAAGTTATTTATATATTTTGTTGAAGTTCAAGTTGCTTTTTATCAATTTTTTTAGTTTATGTTTCACGTTTATTTTTGAAAGTATTTTATAATAGGTGTAATATCTGAGAAATATAATTTTTTTTATAGATTTTTATATAAAACTAGGATAATAATGTTTTCAAAATTTACACTCAGACCAATGTCATATTAGTTTTATTTTTATCTCTTAAAATGGCTTTTTCGTAGGACGATGTGCAGTTCTTTTACAACGAGAATCAAATAACTATCTCCGGTACACAGTGTTCAAAGCCTATATTGACGTTTCAGGAGGCCATGTTTCCAGGTTGGTTTTAATAAATTTTTCAGAGGGCACTTGTTAATATTTTATTTGTAGTTGCTTCTAATATTAGATTTATCAATTAATTGATTTATTGTAATTGTTCATCGAAGATTACGTAATGAGGGTACTGATGCAACAGAACTGGACCAAACCGACACCAATCCAATCACAGGGTTGGCCTTTAGCTCTTAGTGGCAGGGATTTGGTGGGCATCGCTCAAACAGGATCTGGGAAGACATTATCAGTTAGTATTTTATAATACAATTCACATAGCTTTCAATTTTGTGGGTGTACGAAGTGTTATTCGAACAAATGTTGTACATGAAACAAAATTATGTAAAATTATTTTTTTAATTTAGAAACCTTTTAAATTTTTTATGAAATGTGGCATTAAAAATTGATAACATTACTTACTCATGTAATATATTCTCCTACTCACAGTACATATTGCCAGCAGTTGTGCACATCAATCATCAACCACATCTGGCCAGAGGGGATGGACCAATTGTTAGCTAACTTCTTTGCTATATTAAAAATTTATTTACCATTGTTAAAGTTCTAGCTTCTACTTTGTCTTTATGATGATTCATTTAGGATCTATCAGTAAACCAACATTAACACAAACATTCAATACATTTACTTGTACATATTTGGGATTCCTTGCTACTTGCTTGTTCCGTACTTATATATAAGATATTTATTACTCCCTGTCGTACAGTGCTTGGTCCTGGTGCCAACAAGAGAACTGGCGCAGCAAGTAGCCCAGGTTGCTCAGATGTTCGGATCATCATCCAGAGTTAGAAATGCTTGCATCTATGGGGGCGCTCCAAAGGGCCCACAGATTAGAGATATTGAAAATGGTTTGTATCCATTCAAATTGTGAAATCAATCATTTTAATAAATCTAGTTATCTGTTAATCTGATGATATTTTGTTGATAATATTTATTAATTTCTAAACAAAAGGTGCTGAGATCTGTATAGCAACACCTGGTCGCTTGATCGACATTCTCGAGATGAGAAAGGTGAATTTGAAGAGGTGCACCTACCTGGTCCTCGATGAAGCGGATCGTATGCTTGACATGGGCTTTGAACCTCAGATCAAAAAAATCATCTCCCAAGTTCGAGTAAGTTAGAAGTTTCAAACAAATTTTTTTTCATTTTTATTTTTTATTATGTTACAAAAATAATTAAAATTTAACACTTGAATATGACAACCTTTTATAAGTAAACATATCTCTAACATTTTATTAATTTATGCCTTGCTTGACAAACGTTACAGCCGGACAGACAGACTCTGATGTGGAGTGCCACCTGGCCAAAAGAAGTCGAGAGGCTTGCAGAAAGTTTCTTGAACAAGTATGTGCAGATCAACATAGGGGCCACTCAACTGCATGCAAATCATAATATTCTTCAAATTGTTCAAGTCTGTCAGGAGGATGAGAAAGATAGGAAGTTAGTTTATTTACAGATTGATACTTTTTTAGCAGTCTTTTTTATACATTTTATCATCACTGTTGTTGTTCTTTGGTGTTAACATTTAAAACTGTTGACTCTATTTAGATTGGATCGACTGTTGAATGAGATAATGAGGGAGAAAGAAAATAAGACTATCATATTTGTTGAGACCAAGAAAAGAGCCGACGAACTAACAAGGAAAATGAAGCGTGTCGGGTGAGTTAGAAAATAAAGTTTACTCAATTTTACCACCCATCAAATAATTACAATAATGTTCTCTATTTTTTTATATCCTTTGATTTCAATAGGTGGATTTCTGCTTGTATCCACGGTGACAAATCACAGCCAGAGAGAGATTGGGTGCTGAAAGGTATGTGCATTGCATTCATTATGCGATGGATGGTTGTAATACTTTGCGGGATTATATTAAAAATATTAATTTATTTTTTTAGAGTTCAGAGAGAACAAAAACCCAATTCTTGTTGCTACGGACGTTGCTGCTCGTGGACTAGGTTTGTGTTTAAATCTTTTCTACCAATATCCATTTTCTGTTTGGAATTAGTGATAGTTAGTTGACTGCATTCCATTTTTCGTTTTTGAAATATGCATCAATTGATTAACAGAATTATTTTAATGTAAATAAATTCTAATTTCTTACTGATTTAGTCGGGTGATTAATAATATCAATTTTTCATCTCGATTAAGCAGGTTTGAAATAGAAAGAAAAAGTTGACAGGCGCATGTGAGCTTTTAAAAAACATGCACACATCATTTGAATAAATTCACATGGTGCATATGTACAAATATCTAAACAAATACACGGTGTACAAGCACACACACACACACAAACTTAAATTGGCGCCTGTCAAACTAGTCCTGGACCGTCTGTCTAACAATATTCATTCGGTCCTCGGTGAGCAATGTTGGTCAGTTGTAAGCGGCCAGTTTGTCAGCATGCTTCAAAAGTTGTTTCGGACGTCATTGGAAGGAAAGGAAAATAAATTAAGAGTTGGTTTAAATACCAATAAATTTATAGCACGTGACGTCCGTACATCAATTGATGCTGAAACTGGCTGTGCACTAGGTCATTGGTTCGTACCACATTGTCTCATCGTTGTTTCACATTAGCGATATGTGTCATTTATTTGTCTCTGCAGTTTATCCTTTTTAAATAAATTCAAAGTTTTTGCCACATCGTGTGGTTAATTTATGTTTTTTATGCTTTTCCTTATGTTTATACGCAAAATTTTTCTTGCCAAATTTAGATGTTGACGATATAAAGTACGTGATCAACTACGACTTTCCCAACTCATCTGAGGACTACGTGCATAGGATTGGCAGAACTGGTCGGGCTTCAAAGGTCGGAACGGCTTTCACATTTTTCACCGCCAAAAATGCTCCTAAAGCTAAAGGATTAATCTCAGTACTGCAAGAAGCCAATCAGCAGGTTGATCCAGCACTGTTTGCCATGCAGGCTGTTGGAAGAGCTAGAGACGGTAAGTTATTTGCTCATCTTTATTTTATTTTTCAACTGTTTGGTGATTATTTAACTAAAGGCTAACTTCAAATCAAAAATTAACCTTCCAGATCGTAAGAATTTTTTCAAGTCCAGTTACGGTGGACCAACCAAGAGAGGTGGACCGCCAAGCAGAAGAGGTGGACCACCTATCAAAAGAGGAAGACCGTTTTAATGTTTTGTGTGCGCGCATGTACTTATAATGTAATTTCTTCTATATCGTTCTTATGTATATACATTGTTTATAGATATGTTTAGTGAAACTTAATGTTATTTCAATTGTTGTTGACATTCTTATTGTTGTTTCCTATTAGGTTTAATTATTAACTATGGTAACAAACGTGATTCATTTAAAAATAAAATTCTTATCAACTTTCGCGTCACTGTAAACAATAACACTCGCGAACAAAATTAAAATTTCGCGTAAGAAGTATTTTGTCGAATTTTTGGTGTCGGAAAAGATTGTGGTGGATTAGGCGAACTGAATCGCCGATTATGTGGTCAAATGTCTATTAACTTGGATAATATGAAACACAACAAAAAGGACTTGAAGTCTGCATCTGATCTCAGCGATGAGCGAGTTAAACTGGTAATATTATTTAATGTTATCCATCTGCGTTGTTTCAGAGTCGCTCACTTATATAAATAGTAGTGGCGAAGAGTGAATGCGTTGCTGTTAGGTTTCATGTCCATGGAAAAAGTGCTGCCAAAGATTGCATGCCTGAATATAGTTAAATAAAATATGGTTGAATGCCACGATTCGCGTGGAACGTACATTGCAATGCAATAGAGATTAGATGGTTTTTGTGTATTGGTTGCATTAAAATGAAGTGGTTGGTGTTAATTTATTGATTAAAATATTGAAAAGATTAAATTAGAGTTCCAAGACCAAATAATAAAGATAAGAAGGGCAACGGAGGATCTTAAAATTATGATGAACGATTTGCAGCATAAATTTGAGGATATAGTTGAAATGCATCAACTGGAAATGAACGAACTTAAAAAAGTGGGAAAAATTATAACTGGTCGTATGTGTTGTTTAATACAGGTTTTTTTTAAATATTTCCGCTTAACTAGGAATTTATATACTTAGAAGAAAGAATTTCATACTTCGTAACTAACAAATTGCAAGATATGGATGAAAAAATGCAACAGATGAATACAAATGTTTGTATAATTTGTGTATGCATACCTAATTTTTCTATACAAATCTAACGGTTTTGAAATATTTACTTTATAACAAAGAAGAAACTTTTGATTTTAATTAACCATTTTCGTTAATTTTTTAGATTGCTGCTTTAGACAGACAAGTATTCATCTGGTCCAACATCGAGCAATACGACAGTCACAGGATAGCCACAAGGCTGGTCAATTTTCTGCTTGCCTTTGCGTCAATAATCATGGTCTTTATAGCAACGGCTCTTACAATTTTAAATCCTGTGTTTTTAATGAAGTTGGTTTATATTCCTCAAGTAAAATAACGCATATGCATTTACATACAAAGGCGCTGACTCGAGATAAGAAATTCAAATAATTTTAAAAGGGTACAAACACAAAACAATTTTAATAGGGTATAACATACCGGTTGGACGGTCACTAACGTTTCAAAGATTTTACAAATCCGCAATTTTCACCTCGTGTTTCAATCTAATGTTGAGTTTAAAGGAGCAAAGCATGATCTTGCGCTTTTTACATTTTGAAGATTTGGTTACTTCTGTCGCAAACTGAAACCCATAATCATATTTTATCGAACAGTGATTCTTTTACGTTTTCTTCACTCTGCGGAATATTGTGCCAAGCTTGAGTCGGCACCTTTACTATATTATACACGTACATGTTGACACGTTTATAAATATGAACCGAATAAATATGGAAATTTTATAACGTTACAGACGCCGCTACAAAATAACAATCGCCCTAGCAGCACTGATTTACCTGGTTTATTACCTGTGGTTCACGCCACCACAGACAACGATAAGCAAGCTTAAATAAAAGGATCTTGTATCTAGTCGGATTAACTTGACTCGAGATCACTCGATCTTTTAATTAATATCGTGAAAATTCGCTAAAACTACATAGTAAATTTGTAATACCTAAAAATTTATTTGGGAGTCTAATGCATAATCTGATTAAAAACCTAACAAGTAGCGTAGCAATGGATAGGATATTATTGCAGATTAAGTTGAAAATTTTAATAAAAACACGAAAAAACGAAATTATTTATCACATATAATAAAAAAAACTAGCACAATAATAATAATACAACTATGAATTATTTATTTATAATTGTACTTAGTGACAAAGAAACAGTAAATGAAAGTAACAAATGTAAACAGAACAAGCTTCAAAAAATTATTTTATCATCGAGATTACACTAATGAACAAATTTTCACCTAAACAAACAAATATATTATAAAATTGAAGCAAAATAATGAAACAATAAGGTAAAAAATCTTCAAATTACTCATTAAACATCGTAACCACATTTAACAAAAAAGATTAACTCTATCATCTTCATTGACACATCTCTTGATGTAATTAATCAATTAAAAACAAACCCTAAAAATATTTTAGCATTTAATCAATTAATTTACGTTACAAAAATGTAGTTTTGTTATCTTATCTAAATGTTTCGTAGCTAGCTAGAATAAGTATTCAGTGATACTCATAAGCCATTTTTAGTTTAATAACTTAAATAGAAAAACAAAATAATAAAGTATCATGGAAAACCTTCAACAGAACTGAAGAGAAAAAAATTTAAAATTATAAAACAACACGCACAACAAATGATCCGTAGCTGTTATTAATATTTTCCTTCTCCTCGTATAATATTGTATCTACCTATATCTTTGTATGTATAAATTTATAATTAGTTTACCAGTATCCTAACTGAAGAAAACCAACCTACTTATATGAATTAATTACTTGATTGATCAATTAACAATCAATTAATTAATTGAATGATTGTTTAGTAGGAACGGATTTTCGGCGGTATGGTCTGAACTTTGCTGCTGTCGAGGACTTTATCATTGACAGCACGATAATCAATCGACACCTGTAACCAAAAAAAATCAACAATAATAATAACAACTTATATTATCAACCATGAAACAAATCAATTAACTTAACTGTAAGATTATGCCTACAGTTATGTCTCAGCAAATTAAAAATTGTTGTTGTTAAAATATAATTTCTGAAGCAGAAACAAACAAATTTATGGAGGGTAATAAAAAAATAATGAACGATGATGAAGAAAGAAGAATGAACGAATGGTGCATGATCAACCTACCTTCCCAGTAGCAACATCCACATGAGCAAGCGAGTGCTTGCGCCAGTGCTCAGCAAATGTTTTCTTCTTTTGACCTTCCAGCGGTTTTGAATAATCAAGCTCGTCGATTCTTGTCTGTTTGGCAAAAGATAAATAATTAGTACATTATAATTACAGCCAGGAGTGTTTGTTGCCCGGACGATACTTCCCATGTCGTTCCGAGAACAATGTATCCAGGTCATGAACGTCAACAAAAATGCTTAACAATAATAGTTTTACTAAAAGTAAAAAAAATAAACACTTGATAAGAAATTTTAAAATTATTGAAAAATTAAGACTACATAGAAACAAACAGACTAGCAAATAAATAATTATATAAATGAAGTAAGTAAAGGGAATCAAATCAAAACATTGGAAAAAAGCAAAACAGCAACGACAAACAACAACAACGAAAAAGACATCAGCATATAAAACGCATCACAAAAACTACAAAATGTAGTCCAACAAACAGGGAAGTCTTCTCTGGCATGTGCCCCTCTGCTCTCTTTACGATTCTCTGCAGTGAATGCAGACAGCATGGAGTTGATCATGAGATTCTGAAGTTCCAGGCTTTCTACCAGATCAGAGTTCCAGATCATTCCACGATCTGTTGTCTGTGTTTATGTGCATGTGTAGAGGATTTTATGCTGTGTGCATATGCATGGTTGTATGTAATAGTTTGGCAAAATGATTGGTTTAAGGATTCAAAGCATGATGATACTATTTATTATCAATTATACAATTGTGTGCTGTTGTTTGTTGTACATGTGTAATTTGCATATATATATATATATATATATATATATATATATATATATATATATATATATATATATATAAGAATGCTTGTGTGTGCACACGAGTGCACGTATGTATATGTGTATGCATGAATGTACTAGAGAACGAACCTTGAGATTAGGTAGCTCCTTGTAGAGTGCAGACAACTTCTCACATCCAGTCTTCAGTGTTGGCCCATCACGGAAAACTGCTGCATACTCTTGCATCACCTGTGAATGCAAGGTTCTTAAAATAATTATAATTATCGTTGTAAGTAAATATCAAATCACCAAAAAAAACATTGATTAATAATTTGATAAACACATGGCAAAAATAGTATAATAAACTAGAGAAAACGAAAAAAAACTATATGATAAAAAAATAAACTTCTAAACATAATAACAATGTTAAATAGTGAGAAAGAGCACATTTGAAAAAAAATTAAGACAGGTGTACCTTCTGCATTTTCAGCCTGAGATCTGCAGTTGATATTGTTCCCTTTGCATGTCTGATGGCATCCAGGTTGGCAACTGTCGCCTCACCAGCATTCTGTCGGATAATCATTGTAAGATTAACCAAAGTTTATACAAAATTATCAATCATCTAAAACATAGTCATAGTAGAGCTCTCCTCCGGTTTATCCTACCGAAGCTAGTTATAAATTTAACTAAATAATATAATTCTGACAATCACTGTAATGATAACTTAGCTGGATTATTGTATACAATGAGCAGTATAACTCAGATTCACAATTGCAATGACCTAAAGTATGATACAAACTGTTAAAAACAAACAAACAAATGTTTGAGATTAACCTGGTCAATACGTGGAGCAGGATCTCCTGGCTTATTGAGTGTCTCAATAGTATTAGCACATGCACGACCAAAGACAACGAGATCCAATAAGGAGTTGGCTCCCAACCTGTTAGCACCGTGAACGGATGTACTGGCTGCCTCACCACATGCAAACAATCCAGGAACAATATAATCCTGTCCATTCTTAGACTGGACGACTTGTCCAAGATAGTTGGTAGGGACGCCACCCATGTTGTAGTGAACAGTAGGTAGGACAGGGACTGGTTCACGAGTTACATCAACCCCAGCAAAGATCATTGCAGTTTCAGAAATTCCAGGCAAACGAGCATGAAGTTGCTCAGGGGGCAGATGGAAAAGTTGCAGGTAGATGTGGTCTTTGTCCTTGCCTACACCTCTGATTCAAGTTTAAATGAATTAATTGTAAATCAAGTGTTAATAATTCTATAAAAACATGTTTACAATTCCTTTGTTAAATTCATTACTCGTAACTTTAAAAAAGGGTAAAAATCATCAATTTCAAAACTTCAATATACAAGCCTAGCATCCATTAATCAGCCCTCAACCACCAAATGTACTAACCAATCATCAACCACCAAATGTACTAAATAACCAGTCAACTGACCTTCCTTCTCTGATCTCAATAGTCATAGACCTGGATACAACGTCCCTGGAAGCCAGATCCTTAGCATTGGGAGCATATCTCTCCATGAATCGTTCACCCTTGCTGTTCACAAGGAAACCACCCTCACCTCTGCAACCTTCTGTAATCAAGCATCCTGCTCCATAAATACCTGTGTGTAAAGGTGTGTACAGGTGGTCAAATTGTTAGCTAGGCATTAAGACATTTAAACATTGTTAATTAACTGATAATTAAACAGCCACTTTTCAAATAGAATCAAACAATTAACTGATCATTTAATAAATTAAACAACAAACCAACTTATCAATCCAGTTAAGTAACCAATCCCTCAGTCAGCCAACCAACCATACAACAAACAAAAAATCTACCAAATCATTCAGTCAACAACAACCAAACCAATCAGTTGGTCAACCGTCTTCTAACCAGTGGGATGAAATTGGATAAACTCCATATCCTGGTTGTAGATGCCAGCTCTGTTTGCCATGGCATTCCCATCGCCAGTGCAGGTGTGAGCTCCAGTGCACGAGAAGTAACATCTACCATATCCACTGTTGGCAGGAATTTAAAATTCAATCATCATTCTCATATTTTAAAACGAAAATGTTAAAAACATTCAAATATATTTCAGATTTATTACTAACAATAATAAAATAAGAAACAAAAACATTAACTGCAATGATATTGACAGCAACAGTGAAAATGACATGGAGAAATATCACTGACCCAGTAGCTAGGACAGTATTGTTGCATCTGAAACGATGAATGTTACCATCTTCGAGAGAGAGGGCCAGGACACCTTTACACTGTCCATTCTCCATGATGAGATCCAGGGCGAAGTACTCGATGAAGTAGTCAGCATCATATTTCAGTGACTGTTATGTGTGTGTGAATGATTGTTGCAGTATTTGTTGCAATTGTTGAAATGTTTGTCAATGACAAGATTCTTAAGAGAGTTGTTGTTCATCATTTAACATTGTTTAAAATGTGTTTGTTCAATTCACAAGACGACAGTGAAGCTTAATTATTTTTAATTAAAAAAAATAACTGTGTCTTGGTTTTGTGCCTTCCAGAGATCATTGTCACATTGATAATGTTATTATGTGAGATGCTGCTACCTTAATCAGAATGAGATTTGACAGCAGCATTCATTAAAATAAGTTTAATAAAAGATATAAGATAACTTTAAATGCATTTGATGCAAATGTAATAGAACAAAGACTTAGTGTACTAATTTATAACAACTCAAGTGTCATAACATTTGAGTTGTTCATCTTATGAAATATTACTTCTCTTTGAAAGTTAATTAACAAAAGCCAAACAAAAGAGAGAAAAAATTTATAAAATAAACATAATGTACACAAGGACACCCACAAAAACATACATAGTTCACAGATCAACAACTGCATGCATGTGAATGTATATGCACATTCAGTCATACTTAAAAACCACACCTAAGTACATACCCAAAAATATGCACAAACATATACATACACAAATACTCATACATGAAAAATGCACATATCAGCATACATAAGAACATATACATTAGAAACATATAAAAACACAACAAGACACAAACATATAATAAAACAGGTAGGCACCCATACGGACACATAAACACAGACAGATACATACACGCACGCAAACAGACACTTACACACACACAACAGACACAAAATCGCACACAAACAGACACATACCCTCCCATAGAGTGTATGAAGCATGGAATGTCCTGTCCTATCTGCCACACAGCAAGCTCTGTGCGCTTGTCCCCCCTTTCCAAAATCCAAACTCTGCCCACCAAATGCTCTCTGGTAAATCTTGCCATTCTCCAATCGACTGAAGGGCATGCCAAAGTTCTCTAGCTATGGTGGGTTGAAATTTTTATTTCAACATTCAATTTTTCAAAGTAAATATTGCCATCCTGCAATGCTAGAAAACATTTAAATTCAACTGGCTCTAGTGTAGTCAGTTACATGCTATTATAACTAAACAGCTTTTATTAAATGATTGAATTCTTAGTTGATTTATTAGAAGATAGCATAATCATCAACATAAATGTAACTTGCAAACCTCAGTAACAGCTTTTGGGGCTTCTTCACACATGTATTGGATGGCATCTTGATCGCCTAACCAATCAGATCCTTTCACGGTATCATAAAAGTGATATTCCCATCTATCTGATTCCATGTTAGACAGAGCTGCATTTACACCTCCCTTTGATATTTCATATTTTTAAATTTGATCATTTAATTTGAAGTAAAACAAAATAAAAACCTACAAAATTAAATAACAATTATTACAAATCAGTGAAATCAAACCTGAGCAGCCACAGTATGAGAACGTGTTGGGAAAAGTTTAGTGATACAAGCAGTTTTGAATCCCTTATTTGCAAGACCGAATGCTGCTCTTAAACCTGCACCACCAGCTCCAACCACCACTGCATCATACTCATGATCCACTACAGGGTAATCTCTTGAAAGCTGCAAAAAATCATTGCAAAAAATTGTGTAATCCACATTACATTTCCTGTAGAAATTGACATTTTCAATATAAAAAAACAAGCTGAAACAAGTGATAATAATAAATAAAAAATGTTAACTTGTTGTCCAGTACTGTGTTTTGCATTTTCGTTTCTTCCATGGACTCGAAAGCTAAATGGCCTTGAGGAAAGCACTGATCCAGGCAATTTCTAACAAAATTTACAAAATGAAGCAACAAGATTTAAAAAACAATGACAATGAAGCAACAAATGTTATATAATATACATTATAAAACGTAAAATAAATTTTTAATCCACGTCCACGCATTTTTTTAAATTTTTAAAGTCTATTTGTCTGTTTTAATTTTTAATAAAAGCTAGCTAGTTACACCTCTGCTCATCAAAATAAATGTCAGCCATCTAGGAAAGGCGAACCTTATTCTAGAAAAATCTGTTTCCATTAATGATTAATAAGTAAACTAATTTTTAAAACGATTGATAAATTTTTAGTAAATTTAATAAATGACGTGTTATTATTTGAACGCCAACCTTTCCGAGATTAAGAGAATTTTGACAAGTGAAAATTCGCTGAAAAACAGACGCCATTTTGACGACTTACACTAGCGGTCAACCAAGTTCTCATTCACGTCCGTGCTGCACACTAGGCTAATAATAGAAAAGATTCATGGAAAGCCGCAAATACTAATATATACTAAAATAAGAATTGTACTTTTATGATTTTTATGTTGATAATGTAAATTTGACATTTATATTTGACTACTAAGTTATTTTATATTGCCAACGCCACGCTGAAAAATCTGAACTACAGTGCGAGTTCAGAATTACATAATGATAACTAATTCTATTCGGTCGATTCCAGTTACCATAGATCAAATACTTCTGAATTTCAATTTCCAAATTATACATTTTCAGACTCTAGAAATTGATTACTACATAAATTTAGTAAAAACAAACTATAAACTTTTTGCTATATAAACGCCACATTCAAAAAATGGAACAAAAGTAATATATACGTATTGATAGCTCTTCAGTTTATTCATGTTACTATATATCAAAAACGAACGGATTTCGATTACCAAATTATACACTTTCATATTCAAGGAGATTGAGTACTACATGATTCTAGTAAAAAACTACCGACTCAAATTACTATATCAGCGCCACACAAAAATTCAAACAAAAAGGCATGTTCAGCAATGCATATTGATAACTACTCGGTCGATTCAAGTTACTATATATAAAAAATGTCGATAGAGTGCTACGGGAATTCAGCAAGATTTATATAATTACACATTTCGTTCCGAACGTTTCAACACCAAAACAATTCATCGAAATTAATTATTTTAAGATACATTTTGAGAAATTTTAAAACATAATTTTAATGTTATGCTATGGTTCTTTTTTTTATATAAAAGTTCAAGCAACTGTACAGGAGACATGCATATGTACATATACATACACAGAGCGATCAAATCTTAACGAAATGTCCATTTGAAATACATGAAAATAAATTTTACAACGAAAAAATGTTATTTTCAATTAACCCAATAACAGTCTCTTAAAATATTCAAACTAATTTACTTAAAAGAAATAATTAATATTAGTAAGCGGTTCGTCCAGAACGTCCAGAATAATCAGAATGTTTGTTAGTCCTATCACGATCACGTTCTCTATCGCGAGTTCGATCGTCATCGTAGCGTCTCATTTTCGAAATTTTGTTGTCTTCATGTTCGTCGTATTTTCGCTTTCTGTTTCTTTCTGATTGATCATTGAACTGGCCACTTTGAGGAGATTTTCGTCTTGGTACAAGATCATTGGCCGGTCTGTTTCTTCCTTCGTGGTGTCTAGGACTGCGACTTCCGTGGTCATTGCCCTGTCTACTTCTGCCATCGTTGTGTCTTGGACTACGGCTTCTATTTCTTCCATTACAGTTTTCATAGTTTCTCATTCTTTTCTCATCATGGTGGCGCTGATGTGACTCTGGTGAACTATTGGTAGCTTTCTTGACTTTCTCTCTAGAATGTGAGCGACTGTGTCTTTGCTTCCCATTGGATTTGTTGTTGCTAGTGTGATTATTCGTGTTGAGCTTTTTGAGACGTTGTTCTGTCTCTATCTTGGTTTCTCGGTTTTCTTCTTTAACATTAGAAGATGTTGCTGATGATCTGTGGTTGGTTAGTTTGTGGTCTACCTCAGTTTCATTTCGCTTAGATGATGCATTTTTTTCACCGAGACTTTGGTTGATTGCTTGAACTTTTTCTAATTGTGTTTTCACATTGATCAATTCTTGTTGTAATAAATCAACATGGTTTACTGATAGTCGTAATTCATTGGTTAAATTTGTAATTACCAATTCTAATCCACAAATGATTTCCTCATCTTCTTCAAGTTCTGATTTCATTCCTTCCAATATAATGTTAGAGGAGTCGATAACACTTTGTTTGAGAGATAATTCACTTTCTAACTTGGCAATACTGCCTGTTTTTATCATTTGTCCTAATTCTTCATTTTCTTTTTGCAAAACTCTTATTTTTTCTACTAATCTTTTGCCTAACTGGCTGTCTGGAGTGAATTTAGAAGCCTCTAAATTTTCTTGAGCTAATTTCAGTGCATCTTTACAGGTTTCCAAATCTTTTGTTAAATTTTGAATAACAACATTGACAGCTGGGTCCAAAGTACACGATTGGAGTTGAACAGAGCTGGGCATTTGCAGTTGTTTAATGTCATGTAGTTGTGCCAGAAGATCATTGATTTCTTGATCTTTTCTTTCTAATTTGCCAGCCAGCATAGCTTCTTTCAAATTCTGCTCATTAATTTTGTTCTTGAACTTGACATTGACATCTTTCAGTTCGATAATTTCCTTATTCAGTTTTTTGAGTTGGTCGTTCAAATATTCAACATCAACTTGACTTTGTTGATTCAGGAAACGATTAACAAGATCTTCACGTCCCATGTGCATTAAATCATATTTGGAATATTTTGACTTTTTTGGTTCAGAAATTTCCGCCATTTTCAATGAATTTGCAAACGAATTGATTGCAGTCCAAATGGTTGTGATATTTGTGTGATATAAGTTTTATATTCACTTTGATTCACAAATCTAATTATCGTCCAAAAAATTTCAGTTAAACTAAATTCCCAACTGTAAGAACAAACGAGTTTTTTCTCCTTCTTAATATTGAAAAGGAGAACCTAAGGTAAGCTGAAAAAATGGTAGATGATAAAATAAAATAATTCTTAATGTACTAGTACTACACTACAACGCTAAACATCCGAAACGAAAATTTGAATTCTCTAACAGTCGTCAGTTGAACAAAAATTTTTATGATGGAGATAGGCTAAAACCCATCCTATAAATACATGAAACGGCCGAGAAACTTCAACAAAGTTAGAAAACAGAATAACTTTTACGACAACGAGGGTCTAATCAGTAACAAAGTTAATGTGAAACGCTTTGTTTACATAGACATCTTAACAAAGACGTCTGAACCATAGGCATAATAATCTGATCTAATAAAGTGAATTATATGTGCATTAAAACATAGTGAATTTAGCGAATACTTGTTAAAACTTGTCTGATCTATAATACATTACAACAAAGCGAATTATTACAATAAAGTGAATTATTACAATAAAGTGAATTATTGTGTCAATAAAGTGAATTTAATGAATTCTCTACTGGTTAGAATTTATTCATGTTGTTTAATTACTTTACTTAAAGTCGTTTTGTGCCTATGTTAGAAAAATGAAAATTTTAACATTTCACGTTACAGAGATTACGCAATTGACAGCGAGATGAATTCTTGGCGTGACAATTAAAATACATTGTTCAAATGCAAATACCAACACAAACACACACACACGCACACATACACACACACATACACACGCACACCGACAAATTATTGATTTAGATAATAAATGTGATGCATATCAATATGACAAATGCACACAGAAACATACATATTGACACTTACACACACTGACAAACTCTGACACAAATACACACACTGACAAACTCTGACACAAATACACACACAAACACACACGCACACAAATATATTCATAATATTCAAATGGACCCATAAATTTTTCAATATTAAACAATAAAAAATGGTACTAGCATGGCATTGTAAAAATAAAAAAGAATACTTTCACAACATCAAATCTATTAATAATTACTTATTTTCTAGTATTACGTAATCACTTTGATTTAACACAACACCAACAACTACTACTGCTGTTGCTACTGCTACTGCTACTACTACTACTACTATTACTACTACTACTACTACTGTAACTACTACTACTACTACTATACTACAGCTACTACTACTGCTACTACTATTACTACAATTAACTACAGCTACAACAACGACGGCAACAACTACTGCTGCTGCTAAAGCTGCTGCTAATACTACTACAAATGAACAAAAACAAACGCAACGAGTAGATGGAACTTTATCAAAACTTAACAGATCATTAATTCGCTAAGTACAAGCGCTATCAACATTTTATTATTTTTATTCTTGCTCTTCTTCTTCTCCTTCTTCTTCTTATTATTATTATATTATCACAATTTTTATTACATCTGTTGATTTCGTCGTTGTTATCTAGACAATTTTTATTATTTGCGTACGATAATGTTTGACAGCCATCTTCATCATTAATTCATTTGATCTGGTTTATATGTCCGCAAAAAACAAAGTAACGGCCTAAAAACATGTTTTTTGTTTACGATAATGGCCTATATTACTGTAAGTGAATTAGTTGATGAACTGAAAAATGTTGCTAAACACAAAAAACAATTGCAAAAAGATTTGCTGGTTGCCACTTTTTGATGAATAAAGACAAGCAAACAAAAATTTTAAAATTTAAAAATACACACACTTACATACGTACATTCATACATACAACGGAAACACATACATACAAACAAACAAACAAACAAACATACATACATACATACATACAAAAACACGATACAAACATGCAGTGCATTTCGTTTGTGTGTGTTTGTCGTCTTCCAAAAATCTATACAACGCAATGAGCTGTAACTTTGTTTCTTACTAATACAAACACACCAAAACACTCGTACAGTGGCGGATTAACCTTTTTGCCGCCTAGAGGCACTCGTGGTTTGCCGCCCCAATTTTAAATTTTATAATAAATTTAGAAATTAAATTCATATAAACGCAATATTTTTAAAACATTTTTATTAAGTACATTCTTTAATAATATTCATGTAATGTAATATTGTCAATTTTTAAAAATAAATTTTCTTTCATTGCAATTTATAAAAGTTATTTAAAAACTTTACGACTTGCCTTCCTGCGCGCAAATTCGTCAATAACGAATTTAATGTCTAAATCTTGCAAAATTGTTTTTTCGATGCATAGAATTGCAAGATAATTTAACCTTTCTTCGGACATTGTCGAACGCAAATAGATTTTGACGCGCTTCAAACAAGAAAAAGATCGCTCGGCCGAACAGTTTGTAGCAGGAGTACAAATGTACATCCGAAGTGCAATGTCTACATTTGGATATACACACTGCAAGTCATTCAATCTTATCCATTTACACAAATCAATTGGAGTGTGTGGAACTGCATTTTGGTCTAAGGTAGCCAAATGAGACTTTAAATGCAACAGCTCAGTATTTAAGGTGTCGTCTAGATCGTTTGGAAATAAAGATCTTAATCCATCCGCTTCAATCTCTAACTCACCCATTGACAATGTTTTGAACTGTACAATTGCTTTGAAATTTTCATTAATTTCTACATAAGCGTTTCGTTTCTTGTTCATTTCAGAATTTAAGTTATCCACAATTACCAAAAATATGTTTACACGAAAATTTTCTCGAGTGGTAAATTCTGTTCCATTGTCAACTGATTCGTCGTAATGCCGCACCCGTTTCTTAATGGCGGTACCTTGTAGTCATCAACTAAAGACAGGACTTTTCCTTTTTTTCATAATCCTCAAATCTTTCTCTGAGTGATTGGAATAACGTTAAAAGTGAGTCGTAAATTTCGATTACAGTCGATAGATCAATGTCTACTTTTTGAAGTTTGACGTTAGAATTGTTCAGACATTCTAAAACAAAACCCCACAATTTTACCATAATTCCGGTTTCAAGAAAACTCAAATTAGAAATAAATCCTCTAGCCTCAGCACGAGTTTCTGGTTTGAATCCTTTTAAAGTATCAATTTCAATAATTATTTTTATTCAACTTGAATATTTTTAAATAACTAGTTTTCAAAATTTGCCGCCCCAGGCCGGTGCCTGTTGTGCCTGTGCGTTAATCCGCCACTGTACTCGTACAAATATATACACGCATACACACATCCGAACATACATAAACATACTCACATATATCCATTGAGGTCGTCTAGAATTAATGGTACATGCACAAGATGTTGATATTCTGTATATATTTATATATATTTAAAAATCTTTATATATATATATATATTTATATATACACATATATATATGCATACATACATAAATACATAAATACATACATACATACATACGAAACGAAACGAAACGAAATTTTATTTGCTCCTCAAAATTACAGATAATAAATAAGAGACAGGATGAATGTGATCGAGCCCCTAATGGGCTCATCTAGCACAGCCTCCTAGACAAATATGTTCAGAGTTTTGTGGTTAATATCAAATATTGTTAGTTGTTAGTATGTTAATAACAGATAATAAAACAAAAGGTAGTTAACTAAAAAATAATGTTTCATAGATAATTATAATCACATTAAAAATATCAACAGAAATTGTTTATAGATAGAGAACATAAATTTCATGATGTAAATACATTTCTTATATAATTTATTAAATTATTAATCATAGAATTAAATTAAATTAAATTAAACCATTCTTAATAATGTCATTCCAGGTCCTAGGACATTAAATGTTTAGTGATTTTATAAACATCTCTACATTATTAATAAGGATAATAATTTTAATAATTGTTAATTATTAAAAACGATATAACTTTTTTTTAAAAATCAGTAACCGATTTCGCCTTATATTGAAAACCATTCTTAATAATGTTATTCCAGGTCCTAGGACCCTTACAGATTACATGCGAATGTAAAATGTAGTTTTTGATTTATTCGATTGCAAATAATTAGACATCCTATGACTGTTAGCATGTTTAAAATAATTAGCAAACGTATTAGGCAATTGATTATTAAGCTGCTTATACACAAAAATCAAAGTACGATAAATATTCAATTGATTAAAATTAAGATTATTGGTTGTCGTAAATAACTCCTTGGTATGAGACCTCATCGTTTACATGGTGATGGTTCTGACGGCCCTTTTCATCATAAGTTTAACCGGATCCGTGACTGAAGGATACGTGCCAGCCCAGACAATGTTGCAATAAATCAGGTGTGGCATGAAAAGTGGGTGATACAACAAATTCAGACACTTTTTTGTGAGGTAGAATTTCACCTTGTTCATCAGACCAGTTGATTTGGCAAGTTTGTTTGCAACACTATTAACGTGATCACGGAACGTTAACTTTTGATCTAGATGAACGCCCAGAAATTTAACATACATACATACATACATACATACATACATACATACATACATACATACATACATACATACATACATACATACATACATACATACATACATACATACATACATACATACATACATACATACATACATACATACATACATACATACATACATACATACATACATACATACATACATACATACATACATACATACATACATACATACATACATACATACATACATACATACATACATACATACATACATACATACATACATACATACATACATACATACATACATACATACATACATACATACATACATACATACATACATACATACATACATACATACATACATACATACATACATACATACATACATACATACATTCATTCAAGAGTTGGTATGCTTCGCTGGATACACTAGGCTAGCTGCTCAAAGCAGATGCATTAGACTATCTATATCGATTTATTTCCTTAGCCTGGAACATTTTTCACATATATATATATATAAATAAATATATATATATATATATATGTATATATGTATATATATATATGTGTGTGTATAGGTATGCAAATTAAGGTATTTGTGTATGGCTATGTGATTGGGCAAGGCATACTGATGATTTGAATCGTGTAAACTGCATTTGATTTGGTCATTACGATGCTAGCGAGGATGTTAGCATTGAACAATATTGGTTGTTAAGGTTAAATCTATTAAAACAAAATTCACAATTAGTAATAAGGACATTTAAACTACAACAACAACAACAATAATAATAAAAATTATTATTATTATTATTATAATAATAATAATAATTAATGAAAATAATAATAATGAAAACAAATCCGGCTGTGCATTGGCGAAGTGCATTATTAGTACACGCAAGTACGTGTTAAAATTTGTCTCCGTATCCCCATCTTTCTCTTTTCATCTCCTTCTCTCTCTCTCTTTCTCTCTATTTTTCTCTCTTTGCAGGCTTGTGTGCATGCGTGTGTATGTGTGTATTATTTCTATTGCGTTACTGTCTCGTCTTTGTATGGTGTTTATCAGCAGTGCAACTTGTATTGATATTTGTTCTCTAAAATCACGATTACGCTTGTCTGCATGCAAGCACTGAAATATGACGAACGTAATGTTGGATATTATACAAAATGGAAAAGAGAAAGAGAAAGAAAGAGAGAGAGAAAAGAGAAGATGAGAGAGAGAAAAAGGTGGAGGTGGAGACATATTAAAAAAGAGAGAATGCTCCAAATGGAAAGAGAATTCATGATGAAAGATTTGAATAAAAAGATGGACGAAATGGAATGTAGGTGTAGAATTTTTTTTCAAAAAAATTAAACAGAATGCAATGTAGAGAAAAAAAACATTGAAATTGAAGAAAAACAAAAATAAACTTGAAGACATTTTAAAAAAATGTGATAAAGATAAAAATATATCGAACGAGAAAAAAGGGTTTTGCTTCGTTCCTTTTTGAGTTATTTACTTGTGTGTAGGTAGGCACGTGAGTCGAATCTCTTTCTACGGATGTGTGTGCGTGTATACGTGCGTATGTAAATACAGTCGTGTAGGTGTGCGTGTGTGCATTAGATGTCTGCTTGCATGCCTGTGCAGATGTTTATATGCGTATAAGAACGCGTGTATGCTGTATTTATACATTGAAACCTTGCAGTGAGCTGAAAATTTCCTCATTCTACTCCATGCACTATTTGGTGGATTTGAAAAAGATTTAAATAAAATTTAGATTCTAATCACAAATAACGTTTGAACATTTTTTTTCCGAACAAATCTCTTATCATTACACGTGAACACTTATCACCAACACATCACGTCATCATGGATTTCAAAAAACTGGCTTCAGAAGCTGGAACGCTCTTCAATAGGGCAAAACAGGTGGTGGTATAATTTAGTTACCCTATCATCGGCATTACGACTGTTTTAAATCATATCAATAACTTGAAAGTTATTTTTTTGTATATTATAATTATCAACAATATTATTTCCTCAACGCTATATTTTCATATTGCAATTGTTTTAAAATTCGATAGACAGAAACTCTCATGATATCTGAGCGGTTGTCTAAGATATTATAAGATATTGGTTGCATCTTCCAACTTCATTTCAATTTTTACGCAACGGCTTATAAATCCTCCCAACCTGATGTAGGATTGTCTCGATAATAATCTGCCAATTTAATAATTTGTGGTAAATTTGTTAATAAATTTCGAAAAAGTTCACGGAGGAGATATTAGGCCAGGCCGAGAAGACCGAACTTGACCCCCAATTGGACGCCCTCCTGGCCAAGGCCGACAAGACGAAACAATGGACCGAGAAAATTCTCAGACAGACCGAGTCAGTCCTTCAGCCGAACCCCAGTTTGTGAAATGAAATTTTATAAAAATAATTAAAATTTATTCAGATGTGTTTTTTTTGTTTTGTTGTTTTAAATTTTTGTTTCTGTATATAAAACATTTCCTCGAACTATCACTTTTCGTTTTCACAAAATTTTTACTTTAATTGAAAAACCATTGAAAAAAAATTTATTCAAAACTAACGACACCATCTAGATTATATACGATTTGCAACCAACATTTCAAAATTATCTCATACATCTTAAAATTCTCATCCAACGTCTTAATATTTGCTCAACTCGAAACCATCGCCTGTAATAAAAAGATGTAAGGTTGGAAGAGTTTTTGTACGAGAAGGTGCAAGGTAGGAAGCCAACCAGATTAGTGGAGAATGATGTATTGGGCCAGTCTATGATTGATGCCGGCAATGAATTTGGATCTGGAACTGCTTACGGTAAGATGATGCTCGTATGTTTATTTTACATCCATCCATCTATTCAATCAATCATTCATAATCTCGCCTATTAGTTTATTTTTCCATTTATTCATTCATTCATTTATTTATCCACCCATCAATCATATTTTCACCCATCTCTTCATCTATCTGTTCATCCATCCATTCGTTCATTCATTCATCTATAACTTCATTCATTCATTCAATCATTCATTCATTCATTCAATCATTCATTCATTCATTCATCCATCTATTAATCAAATTATTAATTCATCGTTTGTTACTTGTAATGATCATATGAAATGTGAAATCTCAATTATAGCACAAGGAAATATCTGGCTGCTTGTTTTACAAGATAAACATTTCCATCGTCAGAAAATAATAATATTAATAAATAATAATAATAATAATAAAATAATAATAATAGTGATAACAAAATCAACAAACTATTAGCAGTAAATAAAATGATAAGTGATGAAACATACAACGAAACATTAGGCAGCACGTTGATAAGGTGCGGACAGACCCAGCAGAAACTCGGCCAGGCACAGCGAGACTTCATCCAATCAACTGCCAACAACTTTCTGCACCCATTCAACTCCTTCCTAGAAGGCGATATGAAAACCATTCAAGTCTGTATTATTCTATTTATAATTATTATATTTTAATTATATAATATTATTTATATTTATTATATTATATATATATATTATATTCTGTATTATATTATTTTGTATTGTTTTGTTTATGAAACACAATAATATCTGTTATGTTGATATGTAATATAAACGTAGCGTGGCGTGTTTTATGTTTAATTAATTTGTAGCAAAGAAGTTGAAAAACAGTGTTAGTTGGGAAGGATATGCAATTAGCTCTGCGTCTGTCTTAACTGACTTAATTTTAAAAAAGTGACTGATTAGAATTAGTTTTAAATTCTAATTCTGGTCATGTTTTAAATGGGTATATGAAATTTAAAAAAAAATCAAATCAAAACCACAGAAAGAACGAAAGATATTAGACATGAAACGTCTTGATTTAGACGCCGCCAAAACTAAACTTAAAAAAGTTAAATCAATGCCCTCGAAGGATACGGTTAGTTTAGTTACAATTACTTAAACTACTAATTAATTAATCAATCAACAAATTAACTAATTGATTAATCGTCTGATTAATAACTTTTTCATTTTGAATAGTTAAAATTTAATTAAGTTTTCTGTTTTCTATTAATCAAGAGTTTATGTTCTTATTTAAATTTTAAAATTGATTCAGTTGGGCTTTAATTTCGTCAATTAAATTAGATTGTTTTTCTTAATTAAATTTTTAATTGACTTAATCAATTGATTAATTAGGAAGCCGGAGACTTAGTTGCTAAAGTAAGTAGAAGTTTGTAATATACTTAGTAATAGTTAACAGTAGTATTTGTAATGCGCAGTAAACGATTTGTAATACGTAGTAAAGCAACGATTTAGTAATTAAATTAAATTTTATAATTGTAATAACAAAAACATTGTAGTAACAGCGGTGGTATTAGTATCATTATAGACGTCATCATATTTTTTTAGAATTTTTCATCATCTTTGCATGGTATTTTCTCGTTTTGAAAATGTCTTTTAACGTTCAATTCATATTTTTACTGTTTTACTATTTTTTAGCTATTACACTCAAAGAACAATAGTAACAGTAGTAATATAAAATATACTCTGATCATGTTTTTGGCCAACCAGGCTGAGATAGAGCTAAGAATGGCCCAATCAGAATTCGACAAACAGTCCGAAGTTACCAAACTTCTGCTTGAAGGACTCAATAGTGCACATGTATGTGTATGTATGTATGTAATGTTTACTTATGTGTGGGTTTATGTGTGTTTATGTGTATGTGTGTGTGTGTGCATATGTGTGTTTGTACGTAAGCATGTATATTTATTGCGGAGTTTTTAAGTAGGAAGGCGCAATTCAGAGTTACTAATGCGTAGATTTATTCATTTTGTTCTATGCCATTTAGAGGTATAACTTCTTGTTTTTTTTTACGTGAAGTTTATTGATTTCGTATCGATTCAAAACAACGTTGCATTGTTTATTGTCTCGTCTCGTTTTGTTTGTTTGTTTGTTCATATGTATATACACTATTTAAAAGGCATATTCAGCTAATTTAAACACGAGAATATAGAATTATCTCTAGCTTCATTGGAACAAATGATTTTCCACCCATTTTCCACCTCATTCGTTCTCTACATTCGCTTGTACGTAATTTTTTCTTCTGTTAATAATTTTTTGTTGTCCGTGTGTTTACATGTACCAAGATCATTTATTGGTCCATGTACACAATTGTTCCGTGTTATTACTGCTTCTTCTTCTTCTGCTACTCTTAGGCTACTACTACTACTACTACACCTACTACTACAACTACTACTAAAACAACTACTACGACAACAAAAATAACTACTTCTATACTAATACCACTACTACAAAAACAACTATTGCTACTTCTACTTCTGCTGTTAATAATAGTAATGATAATCGAATATTAATAATATAAATAAAAATAATAATAATAAACTGTTTTTATTTTTATTATTATGTTATTATTATTACGTTATTACTCTCAGGCGCATCATTTGCGATGCCTGCACGATTTCATTGAATCGGAGATGACCTACTATGCTCAGTGCAATCTTTATATGGGCGATCTCCAAAGACAACTTGGAAGGTTGGCTGATTGAATGATTGATTGAATAAATGAATGAATGAATGATTGATTGATTGATTGATTGAATGAATGAATGATTGATTGATTGATTGATTGATTGATTGATTGATTGATTAGCTGATTGATTGATTAGCTGATTGATGAATAAGCGATCGGTCGGTCGGTTGATTGATTTGATGGTTGGTTAAGTGATTGGTAGGTTGTATGGCTGGTTGAAAGATTGGTTTGATCGATTGGCTTCTTGATTGATTGATCAATTGGTTAGTTGGTTGGTTAATTGATTGATTAATTGGTAGACCGATTAATTAGTAAATTAATTGGTTGTAGTTAACTAATGATTTTATGATTAATCGGGAATTTTTTTTTAGATCAATTAAACTGCATTCAATTAAAAATTCAAACAACTGAATGGCGACAGCTACGGGTCATCGACAGCGCAAACAAACAGCAGCAGCAACATGAACAACAGTAGCATGGGCAACAACGTCATCGGTGGTAGTGGTAGTGGCGGCAGCTTCGATTTAAACAGACAAACATCTCATCAAGATTCTTCAGCCTACGACTACGGCATGTCTGAAATGTCGTTTAGAAACGTTAGTGACGTCGTAGTTGTTGTTGTTGCTGTTGTTGTTGTCATGGTGACGTCATTATCTTTTTGTTTTTGTTGCGGTGGTTACGTCGTTATGTTGTTGTTGTTGTTGTTTGTTAAGGGTGATTTTCTCGTCAATTTTTTGACGAGAAAATGTGTGCTGCCTATTATAATGTTCTTGGTGGTTTTGTTGTTACTAATTCATTCATCTACCCAACTATTCATCCATTAATTTATTCATCCATCTATCCCTTCATTCATCCATTAATTCATTCATCTATCTATCTCTTCATTCTTTCATTCATTCATCCATCCATCTACTACTCATCTATCTATCCATCCATTCATTTATTCGTACTCTAGTTTATTCATTTTCATTCCCAGTAAACGGACCGTGAAGTAATCTCGCCTGTCAGCCAATCATCTTTGTCCTGAATAATATTAATAATAATAAATAATAATAATAATAATTACGATAATAATAACAATAACAACAACAACATAATATTATTAACCAGTCTAAATCTACAAAAGCAATAACAATAATACAATAGAATAACAATTGGATCAACTTAATGAAATTATAAAGCAAAAATGAAAAAATTAGCATGGCTAAAATTAAGAAAGAATGACAATAAATAATGGCGGATTCAGAGGGAATGTTGAAATGGGATGCCGCATTCGAATGCCGGAATACTCCCTCTTTCTTCGGACAATGGAGACTACAATAGATAATGAGTGTGTGCGTGCGTGTGTGTGCGTGTGTGTGCGTGTGTAAAATAGACTAATATTGTAATGAAGTGATCGTATTTTGGCAAAAAAGGTTCGTAAAATTAAAACTTGTGAAATCATCTCCTACCATCGCAAAATAATAATTATAATAAATAAATAAATAATAATAAAAATAATAATATTAGTATTACTACCAATAATAATAATTACAGGAATAATAATAATAATAAAAATAATACTCGTAAAACAATAAATTCAATCGCCTCAAATGCTATATTCTGCGCATTTTGGACTCGGAGAAAGATGCTAATTATTATTATTATTGTTGTTATTTTGGTTAATGTTTTGTGTGTGTGTGCTTTTCTATTGACTTCCCAGCAATAACTTTTTTCCCTCTCTTCTGTTGATTTTTAATTTTGAGTCTGGCTATTTTTATTTTTATGTTGTTTTTTTTTTATTATCTTTGTTTCATTAATATTCTGTTTATTGATTTCTTATTTTAGAATGGTGTTATGTAAATCATTTGATTCGCATTAAAAACATCGGCCATGTTACACTTTTTTACAACTTGAACTGGCTCAATTAGCAACAAAATAGCAACAGCAATGTAACATCAACGACAACAAAACAACAACAAACAACAACAAAAACATCCCCAAAGGTGCCACCCTACTGAAAACATCATCACAGACGACATTGACAAGACACGCACAATCAACATTTTCAACATTCCTTCAATCTTTTTTCATTTTTTTTTGCATAGAGGTAATTAGTGTAGTATCTAGACGTACTCAAACATTCATACTCATACACAAACATATGCAAACATGCACACACAAGTACACAAGCATTCGTACAAACATGTATAAATGCTGACACACAAAAACATACATATTTTTAATGCATTGTACTAACATTTTATACCGCTATTTGTATCTCTTCTAAATAATCAATATCGTCATCGAAATGTACTTTTAACAATCTCATGTGTACTTTTGAGTGTACTTAATAATATACTTTAAAATTCGGTTAATAGGGCCACATCGGCGCTTGGTCCGGTAGTCCAAATAACTAGTGGTTCGAAAAACCGATTTTTATTGTACTGATACTTATATACATGTTCCGCGCAAGTTAGCTTTCTGTTTAATTTTTCAATTTTTCTAACGGTAAATCGTGAATCACTGTCAAGTTTGTGCAAGCATCGTGAGTCTTCTCGATAGCTTGGTCGTCCTCCTACAAATATATTCAAGAATTATTCTGGCTCTATCAGGCTTAAAATAAAAAAATTTCCGTTTACAACTCAAGAAACTTGACAACGATTTAAGATCTACTGTTAGAAAGATCGAAAAATGAAACAGAAAGCTAACTAACGCGGAACATGCTGTGATTTTCATCAATAATTGCATAAATATAAATATACATATTTATTTAAATATGATTATATTACAGTACAGAAAAACTACATATGTTTTTGCATTATCATTGTTCTAAATGTACATTTTTCGTAATTTTATTGAAATTTTTTCTACTTAAGCTATTCTCTGTCGGTAGATGATAGAAAAATAATTGTTTTTTTTTATCTATTTACATTTCTTAATACTGTTGAATATTGTTGTTGATGTTGTTGATGCTGTTTTTGACGATTTTTTACATTAATAATAATGTATGTGGTAATGTGATGAATGTTTTGTTTCATTGTTGTTCTGCCGTTGTTGTTGTTGTTTTTACTATCTCTGGATTTAATGATGACGGTTAGTATCATGATGAGAATAACAATGCTATTGATTATTAATGTTATTGTTGTTATTATAATTCTTATTGTCACTGTTGTTATTATTATTATTATTAAATTCGGCAAAATCCTAGGACAGTGCCTACAATGCAATTGAAAACACATTATAAATGCGGGAGATATGTATGAAAAAGAGAAGGCACATAAACAACGACCAATGAGATAACTGAAAAAGGGAATGCAACACAGCTGTAAGTTAATGAATGAACGAAAATACGGAGCCATCGAAGTGTCAATTTAAAATTTAAATAGACTTTAAAAATATATAGAGCCATCGAAATGTTAATGTCACGAATATAAATATCAATTAATCGATTGCAGGGGGCAATATAAATTAGTATTTATATAAATTAAATTTTTGGACAAAAAGATTGTATACATTTTATTCTCTTTTACCATCTCAAAATCTGTATTTTTTTTTACATTAAATAATATAAAAAAATGTACTAATAAAGATTATTATAAAAAAAATTGCATAAATAAAACGCACACCACTCATCAGAGACTATTGTTGTCCCAGGAGCAATCCATTTTTGAATTAGAGGGATCAGAGTTTGTGAGTCTCGTGCCTGTACCTCCTCTGCAAAACATATTCTTGTCCCTCGTTGTTTCCTACAAACACCCATCTATCTGTTGTTTCTTCCTCTATAATATTTTGCCTTCAGAATTTTAGTTTCATCTATTTCTACAATTGTTCCGGGACCCTCAATCTGTGCAAAATTATCAATACAACGGTCTATGCAAACGTCCCGGCAAAAATTGTACCAGTCCACGACAGTATTTTTATTTATGCCAACCTCCCTTGTTGTCAAATATACAGGCATTTTCCATGCCCAACAATAAAGAATTTGTATCGTTTTTGACATCTCTAATTTACTATTTTAAAAAAATGAATCCTTTCGAATACTTGTCCTCATTTGACAATTTTTTTTGGACATCGCCAAATGACTTGGTCAACTTTATTAACTAAATGAATAATAACCTCGTACATTTCTTCCCCGCAGTTTTCGCAAAACATTTCCAGATGCAACAGATCATTAAACCTTAACTACTGCCTAGTTATTCTACGATTTCTAGTGAGACAATATAGCTTGTTAAAATTTAAACGATTTAATATTATTGCCTGATTCATTTTACAATAAATCGTCTTTTTCAAAAAAGGAACTACGTCGCGCGAAAATAGATGTTTCATTTTGGACATATTCGAACAGCTAAAGCACGCGTAAATCATAACCACTTCTAAATATTAAAAATTGTTTCTGCGGCATTTTTACTAGATTAATGAAAAAAATTGCATTTGTTAATTATTTGGTATTTTCATTATTTCATTTCAACGTTTAATTATTTGATGATATAAATGGCCAATAAGATTTTTTTTCCATTTTTATTGTTTTAATAAAAATTATTTATTTTATTTTATTATTTTAATATAAATAATTTAAAATAATAAAATTTTACAGTTCCGTATTTTTTAAAATTTCTTACATTATGTTTTGACATTGTGCTCACAATCTCATTGGTCGTTGCTTATGTGCACTCTTTTTCATACATATCTCCCGCATTTATAATGTGTTTTCAATTGCATTGTAGGCACTGTCCTAGGGTTTTGCCTTAAGGCTTAAATTCATCATAGTCAATTGGTATAATGAGAATTAACCGTAACCTTACCTTACTTATTTTATGTGTTAGTTAGTTAGTTAGTCGTTTATTTACATTGAAAATAATCGTAATGTGATACACACACACAAACGCCACACACACACACACACACACACACACACACACACACACACACACACACACACACACACACACACACACACACACACAAACACACACACACACACCGTTACACAAAAACGCTTTGAAAAACGCAAACGAAGTTCTGGTATGCGTATTTTATTTTTATACAAAATGATATCGCAAATACAAGAATATTGATACACGTATATGTATCATATATAAACATTTATATAAACATATATATATATATATATATATATCGCGAAAAATTAATAAAACATCATTTTCTTCGTGAAATTTTCTTCGATCTTTCTTCACTCAATCATTTTTTTGATCCTACAGAATGTTCTAGATCTATATTTTAGAATTTTTCAAAATATTATACGTATTTGAATTTATATATATATATATATATATATATATATATATATATATATATGTTGGTAATAGACCATAATTTTAATAATAAACTAAACGTTCACCAATAATTTTAATAATAAACTAAACGTTCACCAAAAAACTTCAATGAGAAAAATCGAAAAAACGAACTACAAACATATTAACGCCAATCATTCGGTAGAATATTGTAAATATATATATATGTGTATATATATATATATATATATATATATAAATGTAACTAGACTGATATATAGACCATTTATGATGTTTAAACTCATTAATTGTTGTTATTGAACATTTTATCTAACTAAACTATGTATTTTACTTTACAAATAAACAACCATACAACCATAATCTCTGTGACAAATGTTTTTCTTTTAATGGTTGATATTATTCGATTTTGCAAACAAAAATTTTTTCAAATTTTTGAAATGAGTTGTTTGTGTTTTTGTATTTATATACACGCACATACGTAGAAATACAAACACACACCCAATCACTCTTCACTATAGGGTAACTTTAAAGTTGCACAAGCAGCATTCGAACGTGGTTACAGTGCAATAACAACGACATGAATTAAGGTACTTCATCCGTCTTAGTTAATTTGAAGTATTTAATATACACAGAGTTTTATTTCAAAATAAATATTACGAATTTTCGCATCAAGATATGTCTTCACTTGTTACTACCACACAAAAAATTCCGCATTTTACCGGCCGAAAATTAAATCCTTAAAAAGTTTAAAAAGAAGCTCATCTCTCAAGATGATTGGTTAATAAAGCATCACGTGTATAAGCTTACCTGTTATGCTTTACCTGTATTGAATGTATACATCACAGGCCTTGTGCGATATAATATATTGTTGTTGTTTATATGTGTGTTATGTATGTATGTATGTACGTACGTAGGTAAGTATGTGTATGTATGGTTTATGTATGTATGTGTTATATGTATTTATTATATGTATGTGTGTATGTATGTGTGTATGTGTGTATGTATGTATGTATGTATGTATGTATGTATGTATGTATGTATGTGTGTGTGTGTGTGTGTGTGTGTGTGTGTGTGTGTGTGTGTATGTATGTATGTATGTATGTATGTATGTATGTATGTATGTATGTATGTATGTATGTATGTATGTATTTATGCATGCATGCATGTATATATGTATATGTATGTGTGTATGTATGTATATGTATGTATGTATTTGTTATATGTATGTAAGTATCTGTATGTATGTGTTTGTTAATGTGTATTTGAATGTTTTGTATATGTTTAATTATAGTAAAGTATGCAACAGTTTATAAAGGTACGTTTAAATTAAACGAAATACCACTGCTACTTGTTTATCATTGAAGATGTTACTATGAGTTTATTCTTTATCATCGGCGTTCTTTTGTAAAGGATTTAGAAAAATATTTTCAAATACATTATTTTAATTTACAAATTCAACATTATAAACAGCCACAAAACTCCACTAGCTAAAGGTAGTTTTAAAAAATTTTCATAAATTTTTTATTTCATCTAGATTCTATAATCTATATCCATTCGAAATTAAAATTGATAGTATTTCGATTTTTCATAGAAACTATAATATAATATAATGTAATAAGTACAATAAATACATACACAACACAGTACAAATTGATTAGTGGTAATTGTATTGTATACAGTACTGAATACATATCTCATTCATCATGTTAATCAGAAGTCTAGCTGGCCAGTTCTTTTTTCAAGATCGTAAAAAATCATTTTTTAGTATTTAAAAAGAATAATAATTAAATTAATTCATGCGATCAGCTGGTAGAAAATTTATTTAATTTTTAAAAATTGTTTCATTATATTTGTAATAATAGAAATCAAAATTTTAAACAGAATGTAATCATTTTTTATAAATATTCCCAGCATTTCAAGTGGTCAGTAAGTAATTTCGTCTGGTAGAAAAAAAACCAGCCATCACCATATCATGGCTTATGGACAAGGTGTGTCTGTGTATGTTTGTGATTGGAGTTATTTAATTTTTATTGATTAATTAATAAATTAATTAAATGAAATTATTAATTAATTCACTAAAAGATAATATGGTTCTTGGTTATTTTAACGCAAAATCAAATGTCTATGCACTCCTTACACGCAAAAATGTCATTAAACGTATCCAACACAAGACCATTTTAAAGGTGAGATTAAGCACATAGTACCAGTGAAATACGTTAATTATAGCTGCAATATGCAAATGACCTGTTAAATATGCAAATTACAGATGTTTTATGCAAGTTAGGGTCATTAACATTCAGCAGGCTGACAGCGTTTTTATACGAGCTCGTCACACCATCACTGCAATGACAATTACTTCAGTTCAACAACGCCAGTAAGAGTAACAATAAGAATAATTTATATAACATCAGCAACAATAACATCAACAACTTTAATGACAATAACGACACAACAATAAAACTCACAACAAGTACATTGACAGCAGCAATAACATTAACGACTAAACATCACGTATATAGAGTAGCAGAAAGCATAGAACCTAATACTAAAATTTTACACATGAAAACTTTTCATTCAACGTCTCCGTGCGTTTTTCTGCATGTTTCTTCATTTCTAAGTCCTTAAAAATTTCTAATTTCTTCATTGTGTGTTCTCTGCTTACAGTATTAAACATTATATGGTTGTTGTGTGAGCACGTGCGAATAAGATAGAATTTGTGTCTGTGTGCGTGCGTGTGTGTGTGCTTATATATGTATGCGTATTTGCGTGTGTTGTGTACTGTAGCTATAATTAACATGTTTGTGTGTGTGTGTATATATATTTATTTATTTATTTCTTACGCGCAGTTGTACACGTGCGTGTATGTATACATGTTTGCATGCGTGTGTTCGTGCGATTCAGGGTACATTAGAAAAAAGTAAGGTTATAAAATGATTTGGGAAAGAATTGGGAAGAGACAGAGAGAGAAAAAAGTTAAAGAATGCGTAAGATGGTATATAAATGGACAGATCGATGTAGATGGAATGTATCTCGTCTGTAGAAATGGGCGGGAGAGTAGAGGGATCGATAAAAATTGAAAAATCGAAAGATTGAAAAAGTAAAAAAACGAATAAAAAAGATAGAGAAGGAGCCAGAGTGAGAGAGAAAGAAAGAGAGAGAGGAGAGAAAGAGAGAAAGCCAAAGAAGAGAGAAGGAAAAAGCAAGAGAGAGAGAGAGAGAGAGAGAAGAAAGAGGGAGAACAATTGAGTGAATAGAGTGTTAAATAAATGCAAACAAACAAAATCGTTTCTGAAGGAAGTAAAATGTGAAAGAGTAACAATTTGAATGTTGACCTACTCGAGTCAGTCATTTGTTATTATTATTATTCACCATTTTATAAAATAATTATTTTTTAATATTGCGATTAAACATTCATCTTATGATTAAGACCCCAATTACAAATATTAATGCAAAACAACACACACACGCACGCACGCACACACACACACACACACACACACAAACACACACAATCAATCAATCATTTGGTGGAATGAATGTTTACAGATGAATGAATGATTGAATGAATGAATGAATGAATGAACGAATGAATGAATGAATGAACGAACGAATGAATGAATGAATGAATGAGCGAGTAAACGAACGTATCGTTGCCAGAAATAATATGAAATGAAATTAATGTTAAATATTTATATCAACTGGCCAGGGCCACCCAATTTCAAATTTCTACTTGATCTGTGTCCCCGTATAGTTGAATCCATTTTGCTTGTTGAATCACAATAAGTTTTGTTTGTCACCCAACGATTTATTCTAATCATCTTTTTTGGTTCTTGCATACCTTCTTACAGGTTCACGTGTCTATGTTTAGTTCAATTCCGATGACTTTGTTTTTGCTAACTCAATCTGATATATTTTTTATTTTAACTTGATTTTTTATTTTTCTGGATTTGTTTGGCGAGGGGCTGTGCCACTTAAAATGATAATAATAAATGATATAAATAATAATAGAAATAAATAAAATAATGAAAATAAAAATAAAAATAAAATAACAATAATAATAATAAAATAACAACAATTACTAAACAATATAAACAATAATGTTATAAAAATAAATAAAAAAAAAATTTCCCGCGAATGTGCAGACGATAGCGATGGAGATGAGTACGAAGATGAACTGACGAGAATGCATGATGGCATCGTCAAGGATGACGTCAATGCGGTTTGTTTACTTCATTTGCATACACACACACACACACACACACACACACACACACACACACACACACACACACACACACACACACACACACACACACACACACACACACACACACATTGATACATAGATACACGCACACACACAGATACACACACATTCACACACACAGATACAACACACACGCACATTAAACACGCACGTACGTACGCAATGTTAGAAACACATTTTAAATTTATTTATACGCATATATAAGCTTACAAACAGCCACCCAAATACGTTAAAATAAAACACATACAAGCAGATACACACATGATTTTTTTGTATGAAATCACATGAAAAATCACAGGTTTGTTTTATGTTTAGACTTTATAGGTAGATGCACAGCACACGAACTAATTCACACGCACGTATTCATACACACGTACACATACATACACGTACACATACATACACATACAGATAAGGTCGGCTCTGGAGTCTGGAGTGGATGTGAATGAAAAGTTCAGTGAGGACGTGGACCAACAACATGTCGACATGACTCCTCTATCATTGGCAGCTGCCCTCAACAAAATCGAAGCTGTTAAGGTGCGTGTTTGTTTGTGTGTGTGTGTGTGTGTGTGTGTGTGTGTGCGCGTTTATGTAGTTGTGTTGCCATATCTTGTCCAATAAATTAGGTCGTAGCGACGATCTTAATGCAGCAATGACTACTGTTATACAAGATGAGTTAGTTGATGCTGCAACATTAAAACTGATTGTTGAGAAAATAATCGCAAGGTTGCTTGCTACGAAATGTTATGTTTCCGATAGCTGCTTCTGGCGTATGGTGCCCACGTTGATGACACATTTGCTGCCCTGAAGACCACAGCCCTTATGACGTCATCGTTTCACGGCCACCAAGAAATTGTGAAGTTGCTGCTGAAGAAAGGAGCCAACGTGAATGCCGTCGACGTGCAAGGAAGTACCGCGCTCGGCTACGCTTTCGGAGGTGATGACCACCAATTATAACAATGATGACCCCGATGATGATAATGATGTTGACAATAAAATGATGATGATGATGATGAATGTTTCTTTATTTATCGCAGGAACGAAGAATATTGATGTCATCAATCAACTGCTGCAAGCAGGTGCGTTCCTATAAATTTATTTTTTGTCTTTTTTTATTTAATTAAGATTTTTTTCTTTTTATAAATTTTTCTTTCCTTTTGTTTTGTTGACGACGACGACGACGATGCTGAACCGCACCACTGATTGGACAGGGATCGACGTCAACTTGAAGAACATGCTCGGCATGAACGCCCTCCTCCTCGTGGCTGGCTACAGCAACGACAGACTGGTGCGCATGATCTTGGACCACAGAGCGGACGCCAACGCCGTCAACGATTTCAACCACTCGGCCCTTCATATTGTTGTGGTTGGAAAGTGGTCTCAAATTAGGGGGTTGACTCAGAATGGGAGGATGTCCAGTGCCCACTATGGATTGCACCGAAGAAATTTGGACATAGCCCTCAAAGATTGGGCTCGGTTAGTTGCAAAGTTTTGGCGCTCTGTGATTTTGCTTCACTTAACAATTTTTGGCGTGCGATAGTTATTTATATTGTGAAAGAATGCCTACTATATATATATATATATATATATATATATATATATTTATTTATTTATTTATGATATTTGTGTTTTATTTCCATCACAATTATGTACCCTATATCATCATCATCATCATCATCATCGAATGACAACCACCACCATCAAATGACCACCACCATAATAACATATTTGAAGGTCCCACCGTTCCTTACTTCGAAGCGGTAGGGAAGATGAACAACTGCTGGAAAGAATTGGTCAGCACGTAAAGCTGATGATGTTGAGGATGATGGCTGTGGAGATGATTTTGAATGATGATGATGATATGATTGAATGAATGATGATGGCGGAGTGGGCGATAACAGACATTTCCTTTTTTAAATTGTAAAAAGACAAAAAGACCAGCACATACAAATGCATGTTCCTATATTCGTTTTAAATTCAATTAATCGATCTCCACAAAACAGGTCAGTTTATGATGGAAGTAGGAAGCAGGTACATGGAGCCAGAAGTCGGGTCAAACGATGGTGAAGATGACCAAGAAACTATGAAGAAAAGAGTAGAAGCTGTTTGGAGGTGATCACTTACTTCAAACCATTCTTTTCTATCTTCGCATGTTTTACACATTTTCATTCTACATCGGGTTTGATTTGTTAAAATGTATTTTTTTTAAATACCAGCTACCGAAGAGACCAGCTGGAAAAGCGTCAGACAAAGAAAAAACAGAATGGTGTGATCGACAATCTCTTGTCATGTGGAGGTAAAAGAAGTAAAAAAGGTAAAGAGCAGGTCAAAGGTCAGGGCGCTCCTTTGGCCAAGCCAGTACCCGTCAACGATCAAAGACCCAACCTACCTGCTGACGCCGAACAGGAGATTGTCAACATATCAGAGAAGTGCTCGAGAATTCTAAAATATATCATTGATGCTGGCTGTGAAGTTGATAAGGTTCTTAACCAGACTTTTCGTTCATTTGTTATTATTTTAGTGAATTATTCTTTAATAAAAAATGAATTAAATTAAAATGAAAAATAAAAAACTTTCAAAAACTGCAGGTTGAGAAGACGTTTGGCATGACAGCTCTTGACATGGCGATATTATTCGGTGACGTGGAATCGACGGCTGTGCTGGCATCGGCCAATGGGGATGCTTTCCACCTGATGAAGATGTTTTCCCTGACGGGTCTCTACGACGCCATCCTCTCTGTCAACAAGAAGCAAGTGAAGGAGGTGCTGGCCAGTGAGGATAACATTGATGTCAATCAGAAGTTTTCTGCTTTCAATATGTCTGCTAAGGCCGATATGGTATGTTATATTTTTTGATATTGATGTTGGCAATCGTTAACTTTATATTTCTTGAAGTTTGTTCATTTTTGAGAAACACGCACGCAGAGTAGATTATTTTGTGACTTGCCTATGTTTCGAAAGTTTAAAACTTTTCAATTCATGCACGCTATGCGTCTTTTTATCCGAAGTACGTGCGGAAATTTTATGCGGTTCAATATTTTTGGTGTTATGATGAAAAGTATAAAATAATAAAAAAATGGCAATAATAATAATAATTGTTATTATTATTATTAAAAGGCGAGGAGCCGGGATATAAGGAGTGAGGGATTGACTCCCATTGCTCTAGCTGCTCAAATATCAGATCCCGAGATGCTGGAAATCATCAAAATGCTACAGAAGCAAGGTGGCCAATCTGTTAAATTTACTCAAAAACGAATTTATTATTTATTCTAAAAGTTTTTATTTTTTTAATAGATAGATTCTCTTTATATTAATCAATTAAATACTTCTAAATCATGCTAGTTAATTAAAACAGTACAAAATGATGGAACAGTATCGTTGATTGAAATAAAAAAAATCTTCAAAAGGTGGCGATGTAAACTCAGTGGGTCCCAACGGAAGTAGTCCACTGGGGGAGGCCAGTCGAACGGGCAACCTGAAAATGGTCGAGTATCTGGTATCACAAGGGGCCTCTATAGAACAACCAAGCCCCTGCTACAACAATGCCACGCCCGTTACCCTAGCCATAATGAACAAACGATATCATATCTTTGATTTTCTGCTGCATGTTAGTACATTCCGTCGTTTATCGTTATTTGTACCTGATTGAACTGTTTTAATTACTGAAAACTTTATTTTCAGTTTTGTTTCCGCTCAGTTTTATCAAACCTTTAACACTTTCCTCTTCCTCACGCACTTGCAGAAAAATGTGAAATTGGATAAAAAGATGTCAGACGGCAAGACGGCCCTCATCATAGCCGCCGAGAACGAAGACAGAACAATGGTCGAGAAGATCCTCGGTGCAAACCTGCTTGAGAATTTCAGTGATAGGAATGGCATGACTTACGAACTGGCAAAGGAATACCAAAAGCCTGACAAAAGTAATAAAAGACTCATCTAATACTTCTTTTTTAAAATGATCAAAATTGGATGCTTCGAATTCTTTAAACGCTTGAACAATAAAAAATTCTTTGAAGATTTCAACAACATCATGAAGATAATTAGCAACGAAGTTCAACGCATCAAATCCATAACGACAACTACGACAACAACCACAACTTCGCCACAGCAGCAACAAGAACAGCAACGAACCTCGGCAAGACCAGCCAATCAGAGAGTATCAGACCCTTTGAATCTGAAAGCTGGTGCCAATAAAAAACCTCAGTATAATTTTCCAACTCAGCCTCCACAGGAAGAAGAAAGTGAAGATGAGGAGAGCGAGGAAGAAGACGATGAAGATGACGAGGACGATAATAAAATGAAACAGCAGCAGCAACAGCAGCAGCAGCAGCAGCAACAGAAACTTCAGCAACAAGTGAATTTTTTTTAAATTTTTCGCTTGAGATATTTGTTTGTTCCATTTTATTTTGTTTTATTATATAAAAACATTACGATATCAGAAACAGCAGCAGCAGCAACAACAACAGAGACAACAACAACCGCAGCAACAAAAAAATATTCAAAAATCAATTCCTGCTCCGGAAACAAGTTCGGAAGAGGAATCAGAGGAAGAAGACGAAGAAAGCGAAGAAGATCAGCCAATGCCACAACAGCAGCCACAACAACCACAAAAACAGCAAGTGCCTTCTAAGAACGTGTTACAACCTCCTGCGCCACTGCAACCACAAGCAAAACCGCAACAACCAAGACAACAACAAGCAGAACCATCTTCCGAAGAGGAAACTTCTGAAGAAGAGGAAGAAGAGGAGGAAGAAGAAAGTGATGAAGAGCCGTTGCCACCGCCGCCTCCAGCTGTAGTAACTAAAACGGCAAAAACAACAACAACTGTAACGACACAAAAAACACCAATCCCCGTTCCGCAACAGCCGAAGCAGCAACAACCGCAGCAACAAAAGCCACAGCGGCCAGCATCAGAATCTGAAGAAAGCGAAGAAGATGACGAGGAAGAAGAGGAAGAAGAGGAGGAAATTCCTGTGTTACCTCCGAGAATGAACGGAAAAACAAATGTGAAAACGGTGACAACCATCACCACCAACAAACAACAGCCATCTCCAGTGGCCTCTTCAAGAACTGAACCGCAGCAAAAACAACAACAGCAGCAACCACAACAACCCAAACCGCAGCAATCGCAACTACAAAAACAAGCACCCAGACCCCAACCTTCTCCGCCAGTTGACGATGATAGCGAAGAAGAAGAAGAGGAAACTGATGATGATGACGAAGAGGAAGAAGATGACGATGAAGAAAATCAGCCACAAGAGCGGATAGCTCCACCTCCCCAAAAAAGTGAGACCAACTACAGGCCGCAAACAACAACAGCAACTTCGACAACAAAGACAACTGTAACTAAACAGCCTGTCCCACAACCGAAACCAGCCATCAACCAGCCTGCACGCACTAAACGAGCAGTTGAATCTTACATGCTCTCTCCCATTGGAAACAACAACAATCCCCCTCCACTTCCATTTTCTAGACCTCCCGGAGATGATGACGACGACGACGAAGATGACGACGATGATGATGTCGACGAAAACGGTTACGGAGAAGAATTCCAACCTTCGAGGTTTACAGACTTGAATGCGAATTCTCCAACCAAGCAGACGAACACGACCGTCAAGAAAACGGTAACAAAAGGTGGCGACGGCGTCTCGCGAACTGTCGTCACAAAAACAGTGGTCACCACTTCTAAAAATGTTGTCTCAGGCCACGGTAAGAATCCGATTCCTGTTGAAAGCGACGACGACGATGTCGATGACGAGTATGAAGATGATGACCACAGAGGCGGGGAGACTGACATTTAAACGTGGCCAACTAATGGATGACCGGATCTATTTTTCAATTTGTAAACGTTGTCGCTTGATTTTTATTTTGAAATAACAGAATAAATAAAATTAATTATTGATCCATTGCGTATAATACATACAAACCAATTCCTATAACTAATCATTTCTACCCCTGTCTTCTTATTTCAAACGTAATTTTCGAAGGGCATATGTGGTCGTTGATGAAAAAACCTTCCATTTTTGTGATTGCAAATAGAGGTTTGAACAAAATATTCAACTTTATTAACAATCGAATAATAAAATTTTACACCGTTGTATTCATTTAGTTTCGTTTATTTATTTAATAAATAAATAAATAAATAACATTTCGTAAAAACAAAATTACAATGCTACACATTTTTAAACACACGTACGAGATTAAGAACCAACAAAAATGGAGAAAATTGAATAGAAATAAATTACATAAATGTAATTTTTACAAATTTGTAAAAATTGTATAATGAACGTAAGCGTCAATGTATCTGTATGTACAAGTGTGTGTGTGCGTGAGTGTGTGTGCGTGTGTATCATTTAGGTTTATTAAAACTTCTTAAATATGATTCATAATCTGGGTACAAAGAGGTTGTTTCTGTATTTTGCTTCTGGGAAAAATCTAATCTGAAAAAAAAAATTTGCGGGCATTATGGGCATTACTTTGGCTGTCCTCCCATTATATGAGCAGTCAATACTACCATTAGTAATATTAGCATGGATTCATTTCAACATCACTCTTACTCTTAGTTGTTGTAGTCGTTACTATATACTACAACTTTAATTGCTTGTCAGCCGGTAACCACTTTTGTCATTCATTCATTCCTTCATTCATTCATTCAATTAATGATTAATTAGCGAATTCAATTTTTAATTAATCGATTTAAACTGGCCAAACCTGTGTTTGGCCTTTGGGTCCTTCACACTTTGGACGCCATATTGAAAGTGTGAATCACCATTAGCAGCTGCTTCGTGATGGGCGGCGGTGCTGACAGTGGTATTTGAATTGTCAGAGAATTGAACTCTTGTTGTGTGTCGGTTTGAGAATTTCATCTGCTTGTTCAGGGAGCTGGTCTTTAATATGCTAACTTTGGGTTCCACTGGTCTGCTTGAAATAAAAATAAAACTCCATCATTTCTAGCGCCAACTTATTGAGGTTGGAAAGATATGGAAAGATGGAAGTTATTACAAAGTCATTAGTAGCAGAACTGACTTTTTAAAAAGCTCATCTGGGATGTTACGATCGTTACCGTCAACGAGCGACAAGGTGGATGTTAGTTCAGACATTTTGTTCATAGTTTCTTGATGCTCTGTGGAAAGCGTCTCTTTTGATTTTTTGTCCAGATCGGCAGACGGTGGTAGATCACTGCTTGGAGTGCAGTACTTGTTCCTTACCCTCAAGATGTCCTGCTTTATTTTCCTCATGAACTCGTCTGCGTTTTCTAAGTTTACAAAATCATCAGTATGTTCGGGTACATCAGTAACAACTGCTCCATCTGGCCTAGAAGGAATTTTACGCAATAATAACTGATATGATGCCCTTAGTAAATGCACCTCAAATAACATAAAATTACAGAGTTATATTAAATAAATTTTACAAAAATTGTAACCCAACAAATCCACTCTACAATGAAAGAAACTATTTCAAAGTTTTTAACATAAATTATTTGTCTATCTAAACTCTACTCAGTCACTTTCATTACTTACTGATTTTCTTTACAGGATTCAAAGTAATCTGATTCTCGTCCTTCTAAATCACCAGCATCCTTTTCACCATCATCATCATCTTTAAATAAGGTGTCTTTTAATTCTGTAATTAGGTGAACATAGTTAGCAAAAGTTGAAATTGGACAGTTGATTTTGACATTGAAATGGCATAGAAAGGAGAAGGACAGGGTGAAAGCGGGGTTGCGTGATACTGAGGCGAGTGACAGATGTGGATGGCGTCGAGGGGTATTTCGGTTTCATCATAGGTAGCCAAACGGCAACCCCCGATCTCGGGTAAAATGCCGTCTAAACGTGTGTTGTTGTTGTTGTTGTAAATGGCATAGAAAATGCATTGCTACATGCATATTATCCTTACATGCATATTATCTTATATGGTGTGTGTAAAAATAAGTAAGGTATTAAAAATTCAGTTACTGCCATCAAAATGCAACTTTTTACCAAGACTCAAGTATAGCGCAATCATATACATATTTTATAATAAAAAAGATGAAAAACATAGAAATGTAAAAAATAGATAAAAATTAAACAATCTATACCTATAGAAACTTAATTTGATTAAAAGCAATTAATAATAATTAGGAAAAATAAAAAAAATTAATTAAAGAAATCACCAGGCAACAAGCGGATCAACTTTTCTTTATTAACATTTAGGGCACTCCTCGCCTGCATTTGTGACATTTCATAGGAATTGTTGTCTAATTCAATTTCCGCTAATTTTTTTTCAGCTTTAATCTTTTTCAAACAAAATTAATGATTATTTTAAATGGAGTATTAAATATTAAGTAGAACACTTTTTTAAAATATATTAATTTAATTTTTTTTTTCTTTATATAGGTTTTACTATTTATTACTGACCATCTAGATCTTAGACTAAGTAATCCAATAGTTATTTAATTAAATTAAACAATTTGGAGGTACAACTCTACTAAAAGACTTTCTAGACTAGCACTAGAGACTAGAGTAGAAAGAGAAAATAAAATACATAGTATTATAATTAAATAATTTAATTATTATAATTAAAATTTAATATGTAAAATTATAAATTATATTATTATATACTTTATAAAAGACAGACATTATTTATTTACTTTTATAATAAAAGTTTTATTTTACAGTTTACTTACATTACATTACAGATTACACTAGTCACAGACAAATAGAACCAAAAAAGTTAACATAATTTAAATAATTTTTAATTTAAATTATGATAAACTGTCAAAAGCACTTTACTAACCTTCAATTCTTTGATGTCGTCGGACATTTTTTGAAGAGATGAAGTCACAGATTGGACAGTTTGTGGGTCCATAGCTTCTTGGTGGTTTACCAACTTGTCCAGATCAAGTTTGGCATTTGTGTAGATTGACTCGAGCTGTTCAAAAACATTCATTTCTGGAAATTTTTTTAAAATATAGTAATAAAAAAAAGTTCCTTTGAAGAATTGTATTTGTATTTTTAAAGTTTCAATTTTTGAATTGAAATGTTACTGTGGGGAAATTTCTAACTACCGCCACAATATTTTAAACGTGGAATCCATTATCAATTGAACAATTGAGCACTGATATATATCCATGCAATTGAACTATAAGACACACATAAAACATGAAACATCAAAATAATAACTAATGTGTATAATGTTTTACTTTTGTGTATAGAATGAATTTTACTAAAGTTTCACTAATGTCAATTTATTTCATTTATACTTGAATGATTACTTTTAATTATCATCATTAATTTCTGGTAAATTACAATTTCAGTCTTTGCAATGTAATACAGAAACGCATTATATATATATATATATATATATATATTCCATATATATATATTCCATATATATATATATATATATATATTCCATATATATATATATATATATATATATATATATATATATGGAATTAAATATATATCAAAACTTTAACGTTTAACTTCCCAATTTTGTTTTAGGAAATGATTACAATGATAATTTATTTTTGTTTAACTATTTAGTAATTTAAATCACACAGTATTTTAATTTATATAGAGAGGTATTATCATTTAATTGTCTAATTTATGCCTAAAATGGTATATGAATAGTATATGTCATTCAATTTTGGTAAAAGACTACGAGCAATGAAAAATAAAATAGGTAAATTATTAAGTGGATTTCAATTAAAATCATTAGGAAGGTTATCAATGGTATAATCACTGAACCATTTTACTTCACATCCCTACTTTATCAATGGCTTTGTATAGTTTCCAGAAAAAATTAATGCGATAAGTAATCCGATGCCATCCACGTTAGTTTATTTTTTTGTTGACGTTTTGCTCTTTGTTCACTAAATTAATTTAATTTCAAAACGACTGTTCCTTTCTTGCACGTGTGGTTTCTTCGAAAAGCTTGGTAAAGTTAGTTAAGCATCTCCCGCCAACCGTGTATACGGCAAAAACTTGTTTATAGGTGTAATAAGATTTGTGGTTATTAAACTTTGCGAGCTGATTTCAATTCAATTACCTGACAAAGGGTAACAAAGAGTTGAGTTGGTCAAGTTTTTTTTGGCAGCATTTGATTTGTGGCTGGTTTTTATTTGTTATTTATTAGTATTTATAAAGAAAATTTGTTAATTTTTAAATGTCAGGTTGTCAACTATTTTTTAAAACTTAACTTTTTTAAATAATGTTGCGTTGCGTTGAATTTAACTCTTTTTATTCCATTTATGCCCTGGAAAAAAGAATGAAAGAATCAGGCTGGGAAAACCCACGACCACGAGCGATGTTTTCAAGAAATACCAATGATGACATTAATGGTGATTCATCTATAATACATGATTCCTTAAATTTACATCAGAATAACCAAGAAACTAATTTAGATTTTGTGAAAAGTAGATGGGGCCCAGGTGCTAACCATAATCAAAGTTCTCTTCCATACAGTGAGGTCAGTTCTGTGTCTGTTATGAGTGTTGTGTTAATTACAATGCTTTATAAGCATTTATTTAATGTATTATATGTTAAAAATATTAATAATTTCTAATAGCAAAAATATTAATGACAATTTGATCATCTTTTGGCTATTTTCAATAAATTTAGATGTATTTGTTTTGTATGATCAACATAGGTGCTAACAGTGTCTGAATTAGAGAAGGAATTTCACAGGCTCACATTTGAAAAAGATAATGTTTGTAAAAAATATTAAATTTAATTAAATTTGTCAGTTTTATTTCATTTATTCAGTTATTTTAAAATGATCATGAAAAACATTTTAATTTTAAGAGCCAGGATAGAGTGTGGAAGAAGCCATCAGGCTCTAGTGACGTGTCGGCATCTGGCAGCAACATCATGTTTGGTAACATGGATACCAACAGCCTGTGGCTCAGCAATAAGGAAGACAACTGGAGTGGAAATACAGGTCTGTTTTTGTGGCAGTGGTTTGTAAGTTGCTTGCCATTGCACTGTGTTGTCTTGTCTGCTGTTATAAATATGCTTATTAATTTACAAAATATTCCTTCTAAAAAGAAAAGCTTGGTGAAATTAGAATTTTTATTTGTTATTGTTGTAATATTTTTTATAATTGTTTGTGTCATTCGATTAGGCATGGCACGGTTTTTCAAAATACTTAAAAATTATTCAAAAATTATTCAGGTGACACGTTAGGAGTAAATATGGCTGAATATGTGCTAGGTGCATCACCTCACAGAGAACTTGTTGAACGTGGTCTGTCCAACAGATATGTCAGTGGATGTTTTGGCTTATGAGCATTTTTTATATGTTAATTTTGTTATATATTTAACAACAATATTATTTCATTTTTCGTTATTTTGTAAAAGTGTTATTTATGTCTATCCTTAATTATTTTAATTATTATCCTTAATTATTAATCCTCAATACTTAATTAATTATTTTATTATTTAACGATCTGCATATGTTTCCACAGGCCAGTGTAAACGACGGGGATCGATCCAAGTTGCTATTGAACAGTGTTGCTGCTGGGTTTGAAGAAACAAATCCAGATTCAACTACTGACTGTGGAATCAATGGCAACATCAGCAATGGATTGGAGAATAAGTTGTACAGGTTTGTAATTTTATGGAATATTGTTTTTTAGGTTTTGATTTTATAATTTTTTAAGAATATTATAATCATTTTGTTCACTATATGAGCCATCTCCAAGCTGCTTACTTGTTATTATTTGGTAATAATAATAGTAGACAATTTATAGAGCACCAGTTGCATGATTGCTTCAGAGGCACTCGCTAAGCGATAAGTTACAATACTCTTGTAGTACAGGATGTTATTAAACATTGTCCAATATCATGTCTCATTTCATTAAAAATGCTTTTAATTGCAGAAACAGTTTAACTTTTCAACTTTGAATTATTACTTCGCAGACTCCAATCAGGGTCTCAGTTATCCAACCAGATGCACTCACCAGCAAGCAGTGATCTCACTTCAACGATTATCCCCCTGTCTAATTCAGGCGGCCAGTCAAAGCAGCCAGGAATGTCGGATCATCTGTTCGATCATCCATTCATCAACCCATCTCATAATCTTGGATTCCCAATGTCACAATTTCAGCAGCATCCTCAAATGTCGTTGCCACTTCTTTCAAACTTCCACCCGGAGAGTTTATTGCTATCTAATCAACAGCAACAGCAGGAACTTCTTCGACAACAGCAGCAGCAACAACAGCAGCAGCAGAATGATTTAGATGAAAATGGTGAGTTTGTTAATCAAGTTGCAGGTGTTCAGAATGGGGAAGAGTATGATCCTTCCACAACTACTGGCTTTCCTCAGTTTGTTGCTGCAGGGGACCATCAAATTATTCCATCATCTCCTGGCTCTAATTATGTTGATTTTACTCAGCAGCAACAGGTCTGTGTGTGTGATGTAAAATTATTTCAAGTGTGCAACACATTTATCTCTTACACAAAATAAATGAAGGATATTTGCTTTTAAAATTATCTAATAAAGAATTGAAAAATTTAATTTTGCTTGAGCAGCTGATGCAGATGAGGCAGCAGCAAACTCCAGTGACCCTTCTGCCACACCAACAGTACTTCTCTTCTGATCAGATGCTGGGTGAATTACTTTTGTATTTTCTCAATTAATTTACTTGTTTTCAATCACTGATTATATAATTTTGTTATCATAATGTTACCAATACTAGACATTAGTTATAAATTAAGCTACAAATTGCCTTTATAATTTTTTTTATTCTCTCCATTTAACTTTTATAGGTGTGACTTACATGCATCCTCCTCCCTGCATGGTTAATTCTCAAGATCAATTTGTTGGCATGCCTATTACTGGTTTGTTGGTGCTCTTGTATTTGAGTCCGTGTATGTTGTCTGTGTTGTATTTATCTTTTTTTGTTTGGCCTGTAACAGCTGTTTACTGGTTAAATGACTAATGATTGAGTTTATACAAACATTGCTGTTTATTACTTTTTGTTGACACGTGTAATGAAGAATAAACTGCAAACATCATCAGGGCCGATGGTCCCTCCCTCTTACTACAACGTGCCTGGTCATTGGCCAGTCTACCCCTCTCAAAACAACCCTCCTCTTCCTCAGCCTCAAAACAACCTGCCAGCAGGCAAGTATCAAACGACACCTCAGTCTGCCAGGACCCAATCTGCGAGACCCATCACACCCCAACAGATGTCTGATACTGCCAGTGTTATGTCTTTACCTCCAGGTTCGTTGGCCTGTGTTTGTGGTGTGTGTGTTTATATAGTTGCTTATGTTTCTACTTGCTATTTATTATTCCTAAATAATCATTGATATTACCCAGCTACTAATGGTCAATAAATATAAAAACATTTCAGTTTAATATATCTCTTAGGCTTTCCATTTTTCATAGGAAATGGTCAGCATGGTTATCAACTGTTGACTCCTGCATATTATGATCAGTCGGGACAGTTGCTGGTTAGTGGTGGCAGGGGTTTGGGACCTCTCGTTCGACTCGTCTCACCTGGACCCCTCATGGTCAACACAGCTACTCCTGCTCCAAATCAGACAAATAGTTGGTTTCATTAATTATCTTCATGCTGTTGTCTGTCGTTTTGATTACTTTTTCGTTCTATATTGCGTCATGTAGTTAATTTCAAGTGTTGTTGTACACAAAAAATATATTTCTTTTTCTAAAGGTTCAGGATTGTTCACGCCAGCCCAGCCGAGTTCAACAGTTTTCAACCCCCGTCCACAAACCTGGTTCAACTCTATCCCAAACACCACTGATCCATTTCAACCTAACAATGGTATTCTTGATGTTTTTAATTACATTCCATTACTTGTTATAAAATCCTAAATATTATTAATATTATTTTATATCACTTTCTATCTATTTCAATGATGAGCATGTTTTCTTTGCTGCTTAAACATGTTGGCAAAAATTTATCAGATCTTAAATACACAAATTTTTCAGTGAAATCCCAATTTTCAGACTTACCATCCTTCAATTAAATTGTTCTAAAATTATCTTCTGTATCATTGAAAATGTGTATATGAAAAGGTTTTACAAATTTATTCATGCAGCCAAATTTTTGTTAAAAAGCACATGAAATTTTATTTCACACATACAAAAGGCATACAACTCACAGACATTCACACATCAACTCCCATAAATACAGGCTTGTTGTCAGATAATAGGCATGAAATAACGACGACGACAACTGCAGCAGCAGACGATAAATCAGCTGTAGCTGGAGGGTACCAACTAGGTGCCAACAGAGGTGCCTCCCTGGACCAGCAGAATGTATACCATATGCCTTATATTCAGTCTGTCGGTAATAATCTGGGCTTGAATGGTTGGTGCTTGTTGCAAATTTTTGCTAATTTTAATTGTATTATTTTATTATAGTAGTTTTATTAGTATATTATAATTTTTTCATACTAATTATAGTTGTCTCTACTCTTTAAAAACTAGTTTGATGATATGATGGTATACTTTGTCTTGATTATATTATAACAATAAAGCATACATCCAGTTACATCTGATTAATATTTAAATTAAATTGTTACCTAATTTTAATGTGGTTTTTGTGGGTTTATCTATGTTTATATGTATATTAATATTTGTATAATTTTTATTATTATGAATTAAATGAATGAGAAGCATACAATTATAATATCTAAATGATGACTCTCTGGAATGCTTTGTCTTGAATTGCAATGAAGCAAATCCTCAATAGAATCTGATTAGAAAACAATTTAAAAATCTTTCCTTATTTAAATAACTTTAAATGTTGCATGTTTATTTGTATATTGTCATTCCATTATTGTTTTTTTCTGGTTGTATTTGATATCTAATGATGACTTTCTGGAATGCTTTGTCTTGATTTATAATGAAGCAAATCCTCAATAGAATCTGATTAGAAAACAGTTCAATAATATGTTCTTACTTAAATTACTTTTTAAATGTTGCCGGTATGTTTTTATTCCATTATTGTTTTTTCTTTTGTATTTATGTTGTATTTGAAATCTAAATGATGACTTTCTGGAATGCTTTGTCTTGATTCACAATGAAGCAAATCCACAATTGAATCTGATTTGAAGACAATCTATAAATCATTCCTTATTTGAATAACTTTTTAATGTTGCTTGTTTATTCATATATTATCATTCCATTATTGTTTTTTTTCTGGTTGTATTTATGTTGTATTTGAAAGCTGATATGATGACTAGATGGAATGCTTTGTCTCGATTCACAATGAAGCAAACCACTGGAGATTGCTGATTAGTTTTCAATAGCTTTAATGATACAATTTTTTTGAAATTTAATAGCTCTTGTGATAGTTACATATATATATTTGTTTTTATTATTTATATATATATATATATATATATATATATATTTATGCTACAGAACTTAATATATATATGTATTTTTAAAATATTCTATAAATTCTACCGAATGTTTGGCGTGAACATGTTTGTAGTTTGTTTTTAACATGTTAGCGCCAAACATTCGGTAGAATTTATAGAATATTGTAAAAATTATGGTCTATTACCAAGTTCTGTAGCATTAATTTAAATGATTAGAGAGTGAATGTATTAACTCATATGAATAAATGGATGAATAATCGAATTGAATAATCTAACAGTTTCAGATGCAAAACCTAAAGTCACTTCAACTCCATTTAGTAACATGCTTCTGAATTCAAATCTCATGGGCAGTGGTAACCAAACTCTTCTCAAAAGGTTTTTTGTTCATTGAAAAGATATTTTTTTAATTTTGATGAACTGCTTGGTTAAAAGGTTGCTCGCATTGATCAACTGCTCTTATTATCTACTATTCTTACTATATTTAATGTTATGATTTCACCCTCCCCACAAAGCGTCGAAGGAGGGAGTGGAAGAAGCCAGCTGCTTGAAGACTTCCGGGCAAATAGGTTGCCTAGTTTACAACTGATGGATCTGACGAATTACATTGTAGAGTTCTCTAAGGATCAGCATGGGTCAAGGTCAGTTTGATGAGCTGCTTCATTTTTTCGTTTTTTAATATAAATTAAGTTTATAATAATGCTTTGCTGTAAGTTAATGATAAAATAGAGAATGATTGAAACGCCACGTGCAGGTTCATCCAGCAGAAATTGGAGCATGCAACAGAAGCAGAGAAGTTCCTCGTCTTCAGTGAAATAAACAACTGCGCTTACAACCTCATGACTGATGTCTTTGGCAACTATGTCATTCAAAAGTTTTTTGAACATGGTGCTCCTGACAACAGACAAACACTCGCCCTAAAGGTCAAAGGTCATGTACTGACCCTTGCACTTCACATGTATGGATGCAGAGTTATTCAAAAAGCCCTTGAGTCTATACCACCTGACATGCAAGTTAGTGTTGTAAGTTTTGAGATATGATGTCCATGATTTCATTTTATATTCTGTAGTTGATGTGTATTGTTTGTCAATTGGTCTGATCCGTGCATTTGAAAAGCAAAATTTCTCTGCCTACATATATTCTACACGTTCTCTCTTTGAAACTGCTGTTGAGTGGTGTGATGTAAAGCGTTTTTTTTAATAATTTGTCAGTAACATCAGCAAAGGCAAAATATGAAGCTCCTACTTATTTTGAAATGCAGGTGGAAATAGTGAAGGAATTGGATGGGCACATAGAGAAGTGTGTGAAGGATCAGAATGGGAACCATGTAGTGCAGAAGTGCATTGAAACCATCAATCCAGTACATCTTGATTTCATCACTGATGCCTTCAAAGGACCAGTGGTAAGTTGCAGGAGTTCTTCACAGTTTCTGGTTGTTTGTTGTTGTTTTGTCAGTTTTTTTTATGTAGTGTTATCGTTGTCTTAGTTGCTTTTTTGTGACATCCTCGTTAAAGGACATTTAAAAAAATGTTTATTAATGATTTAAAAAATAATTGTGAATTTCATTATGATCATTGACATCACTTGTATCTTAAACCAGACTATTCACCTTGCCATGCATCCGTATGGCTGTCGAGTGATCCAGCGTATACTGGAGCACTGTACTACTGAACAGATAAAGCCAATCCTTGATGAACTACTTAATGAAACAGAAATCCTGGTACATGACCAGTATGGAAATTATGTGATACAACATGTCCTCGAACGTGGCACTGCAGAGGAAAAGTCAAAAATTATCAATCTTTTGAAGGGGAAGATCAGTACAATGAGTACGCATAAATTTGCTAGGTTGGCTCAGTTGTGATTAATTAGTTTGCTTATTTAAACTGAGAAATTTTTATTGACCTAATCACCAGATTTCTATCAATGAAAGTGTTATGATAGACTTGTTTGACTGTAAATAAATTATCATTTGTCTCCGCAGTAACGTCGTCGAGAAGTGTGTGACTCACTCATCCAGCGAGGATAGGGCTGCAATCATCGAGGAAGTCTGTGCCATTTCTGATAGGTTAGTTTTTTGCTTTCATATTTTACTCATTATTAAAAAATGTATATACTCGTTAAAACAATGAATTCATTTGTTATGCTGGTTTTTGATTATGATGTTTAGATAACCCATTATGTTATTTTATGTTGTATATAACCTTCAGTCCGCAGACAGCTCTGTATTTGATGATGAAAGACCAGTATGCTAATTACGTAGTGCAGAAGATGATCGACATTGCTGAACCACCGCAGAGGAAGTTGCTACTGCAAAGGATAAGACCACATGTGCCTCTTCTCAAGAGGTTTTTATTTCTTTCAACTTATTCATTTTTTGGTTTAATTTGTTTTAGAATGTTTATTCTCTTCTCTGTTGATAATTTTATGGTTATGGTTTGATGTTTTATATATTATCAAACTTCTACCATCTAACCAGGTATTCATATGGCAAGCATATTTTGTCAAAATTGGAAAAGTTCTACCACAAGTGCTCTGCTGAGATTGGTCCTATTGGTGTTGTTCCCTCATCTGCCAACACGCACAACTCTCACAGCATCAAATAACCACAGTACCCTTGTCATCATTGCTGTGGTGGTGCATTCACTATCAATCGATCAGTCAGTTTGTCTTATCATATTGTAGAGATATGCACCGAATACTGCAATTTTTCGTTTAAATTATAACTTTTTTGGGATTCCAGAACAATAGTTGTTGATTATTATTGTTAGTGGAAAATTTATTTTTGGCCATCATTGCTTTTTAAAACATCTGAATTTAGACAAGAGGTTCAATATTATCTCAATAATGAATTAATTGTTGGATAAACATGCTTTTTTCAATAACTTGTTTTTTACCGTAAAAAAAGGAAAATTTTTCAAAATTGTGGGTTGTATGATGTTTGGTCCTTGACTAAATTCATTCATTATTCGGTGCATCTCTCCATTAAATTGTGTTTTCTATGTTTAGAAATATTCTTTCAATGTTATAAATATTTTTATTATTGTCATCGATTTTCTGATCATTGCCTAGATTTTGGATATCATTGCTCTACAATTGGTTTGGCTTTGTATGGCAATCCGATGTTGTGCGTCTTCATGAGCATGTTTGTGTGTATATTAATGAGAAAGTTTCCTATGTGGACTTTTATTATATTGCCATTTCAAATCCACGTACAAGCTATATCACGTTTTGTATTTGCTAAGGATTATGATAAAAATCAATTAAGCTTGCAGTTTCGGCAGTGAGTTTATAAAGTGTTTTTTCTATGCATGTGCTTGCGTGTGCGACTGATCAAATTTAAAATTTTATATGCCACATGCATTGTTTGTGTGCGTTTGTGTATGTGCAGATGTGTGTGTACATGTGTATGTGGAAATGTTCAAATTCTTCCATAAAAATGTATATAGATATATATATATATAATTTAATTTCTGCAATTATGTCTACATTATCTTGTAAATTTGCAAAGTTCAAAGACCGACTAATCGACATTGTAATTAACCGTGTAAGTATATTAAATATTTAAATATATATATACAGATATGCACACATGTAGATAACTCTTATGTGAAGTGTAAAAACGAATGTATTATCTTTTGTAATGGATATAATCTGGTGATATAATAAACAATACGTATATATAGTACATGTATATATGTATATATATGTATATATATAGCGGGTTTTAATGCTTGTAATTAATGAGGCTTGTACATACACACATGCATTCGTGTACATAGATAAGTATCAATTTATGCCTGTTTATAGTTTAGAGTTTGTATGCAACACATACGAACACATGTATATAGGCATGCGTATGGTTGTGTGTGTACTGTACACTTCACATGTCTTTTTATATGCTTGGATTCCTAAGATAGATGATTTTTTGCTATTTGTGTGGATGTGTATTTGTACATGTCTGTGTGTGTGTGTATATATACAAATATATATATACACACACACATGTATATATATCTATGTTGATATGTACGTGCGTGCATGTTCTTGATGTTTATGCGTTTAATGTATCTCTGCGCGTTTATACAAAGTTACCAGCTCGTAATTAGATATTGAGGTTAATTTTTTTTTCATTATTATATTCTATTTTTGTTTACCTTTTTTATTCGTGAAATGTTAAATCTTTAAACTAAAACTAACCCTAACTGGTTATCAATTAAATGTTATATATTACTATTTACATGTTACAGTAAGTACATGTTCCAATGCATTACAATACATTACGATGGCCAAGTCTGAGATGATGAAATGTGGTTGATAACTAATTTCCTCGCAAAGTTTGTGCTAGCATTCATAGTACTAAATTGAGATGGTCAAATAATTGGTTGCGCGTTAAATTCGAAATATTTTTTTAGATTCATAATATTATAATCTGGTATATGCTTTTACGTATCAGTGATGTATTTCGTACTGCGCCCACTGCTGTATGTTGGGTGTGTAATCGGTTGTGGTGGTTATTTATTTGTTTGAGATTGCACAAATGATTGCTTGGCTGGTTGGTTGATTGACTAACTTTGGTACCATCATTGAGTTAGATAATACTAGTGCTTAGTGTTAAGTTTGTAATCATCATCCACTGATCACCATCTGATAAATTGATGGATAAATGGATGGATCGCTTGGTTTGCTTGTATATAATTACAATATATTATCCGTCACAAAGTGTTTTTTCATATACGATGTTATATTATTAAATGTTATTTACTACTACTAAACTATATATATACATATGTATACGTAGTTATGTACATACGATTTATCTGGTGTGCGTATATGTGTACACATAAATAGGAATACACAAGTGTATACATACGCACATGTGTAAGATTTGAAAATTATTTTATGTATATGTGTTAATATCTGTTTTATTCGAAATTCTGCTTATATGATTTTTATAGTTTGTTTAACTGTTATCTTTTCGTTACATTTACTGTTATCATTAGTTTGATTATTGTCGTTGTAATTAAATAAATTTCATCATTATTTTAAATTTTTATTTGCCTTGAAAATGTGTGTATATATATATATGTGTGTGTGTGCGTGCGTGTTTCAAACGAAACTCAAGTCCACAAATTTTCATATAGGTAGGATGTGGTTGTAAAGCAAGTAAATTTATTATTTAATAGTGACATAATAGTACGTATGTTTGTATAGGTTTAGATATGGTTGGATAGATAGATAGATGACAGTTCAGATTTTGCACTTTGACAGATGCTATATCGACTATGATACAGATTAAACGTACTATATTTTTTTATTAAGAGTAAATTAATTAGATTTAGAATTAATATTATTGATTATGTTATTTATTATCAATGTAATTTATTTTTCTTTACTATGAATAAATGATGGCTTGTATATCGGCAGTTTAAATTTCGCGAGGTTTTTAATGATTTTTTTTATGTTTTTTAATAATTTTAATTGCGATTTAAATTCATTTTTCTTTTTTTTCTCATTTATTTGTTATATTTTTGGTAAATACCTATGTAGACATGTCTGTATATATGTATGTATATCTTATATACACATACATATATATGATTATTATCCATGTGTGTCCATTTTATATTTTTCATTTAAAATGATGAAATACGTTAAAGCAGAAAATAAAAACAATGCATACACAGCATCGTGAAGCCTTCATTAATCTTTGCACGTGTAAAAAATATTGCAGTGATTATCGTGATTAGATGAATGTTTCACTGTTGTAACTTCACAAAGTTCCAGAAAGCTCCTTTTTTGCTCTTCAAATCTTCATACTTTCCGACCTGAGGTAGAGAGCAAGTGATATAGACATATCAATTTAATTTGACGAGCTGTTAGATTTTAGAAAAATAAAAAAAACTGGTTGCTATTGATAGTAAAAATAAGGGTATCATAAATTTGTGTGGTTACTTCAACTAGTTGCCCGTCGACAATGACAGCAACGACATCGGCGTCTTTAATGGTTGACAGCCTGTGAGCTATTGATATCACAGTCCGTCCTGGAATGGGTGCAATCAAATAAGTTTTTGCAATTTATAATTAGTGGCGATGGATAGTTTCGTATCTTTGACATAATGAAATCAGTTGTTCATTCAACTGTTCGTTCGTTCGTCCAAAAAATAAAAAAAAGAACAGCTGACATCTATCAAAAAACCCTCTGATTTTATTATTTGAGAGTTATTTGATGAAATGAATCACCTTTTGAAATGTTATCTATGGCTTCTTGGACGATCTTCTCAGATTCTACATCCAGCGCACTGTTATTAGTAATAAATAAGCAGGCAATTAATGTAAATGAAAATTAATCTGAATATTAAATTTTTCAATATCCAATAGGAGAGGTTCTACATAAACCCTCTCAAAGGTTTAGCATTTTTGTGATAGCCATTAAGAGATAAATACTCCAGCAAAAAATGAGCAAAACCTAGTTGCCTCATCGAGAATGAAGATAGGTGGATTCTTTATCAATGCTCTGGCGATGGCGATTCTTTGTTTTTGGCCACCGGAAATAGTCACACCTCTTTCCCCTAAAATCGTATCATAACCATCTGGGAAGCCGACGATGAAGTCGTGAGCGTTGGCTTGTTTGGCGGCTTCGTAAACCTGAAGAACCAATTATTGGCCAGGTTTTAATTAACTAAGGAAAGAAAACGTGGAAACCATTTTCTGCATCAGCATTATCATCATCGTTGTTATCATTTTCATCATTAGCAGTGAAACAAGAAGAGCAAAGATATGAAATGATGCAGTAATAAATTGAGTACACGAATGCAGCTGCAGCATGTATGTACCTCGTCGTCTGTGGCTCCTGGCTTTCCATATTTTATGTTCTCTTTGATTGAGGAAGCGAACAAGACTGGTTCCTTAAATAGCAAGTTAAAAATTGTCATTGTCATTCTTATCGTCATCATCACCACCATCATCATTTTCATTGTTAACCATAAATGATAACAACATACGCCAAAACCAGCAGTAGCAGCGGCACCAGCAGTATAGATATTTTACAATTACACATGAAAACATTTTTAAATTGTTAAAAATAACCATTTTATGGATCAGCGAAATATCTAGAAGGAAAACTATTTTAAGATGGTAAATTGAATAGAGTAAAAATATGAACAAACTTGACTAATGTAACCAATCAAACGACCTCTGACCCAGGATGGGTCAAGTGTTTTTAGGTCAAGGTCATCAATTGTGATGCTACCTTCATCTACGTCATAAAATCTTTCCAGCAGGAAAGCAATGGTTGACTTTCCTGATTGATATTAGTAGATTGGTTGATGGTTGTGATGATTGGATTTGATTGGTTAATTGCGTGTTGATTGATTCTGAAGGATTGGTTTTGACTTTTTTTATCTCCATAATCGTGGCAGTCATCATCATCACCTTCAACATTTTCATCATCAGCATCACAATAATCATCATCACCTCCGCCAGAGGGTCCTACAAGGGCCAGTTTTTTACCCCCACTGATTTCTAATGAAAAGTTCTGAAGAACGACCTTTACATGAATAATAAAAAATAAGCATTTGATAACGAATTAACAAGATAACCAACCAATCAGTCAACTAACCAACCAATCAATCAACCAATCAATCAGTCAACAGACCAACCAACCAACCAATCAGTGAACAAACCAATCAACCAACCAATCAGTCAACAGACCAACACCAACCAACCTGATCCTGCCTGGTAGGGTAGCTGAAGGTCACGTCCTTGAACTTGATGTTGCACGTTAAACTGTGGTAGGGAATTATTTGTCCACCCTTTATGGGCATGCCGGGGGCTGCTATAAGATGCTGGTTATAATGATGATGACGATGGCGGTGATTGTGATAATGATGACGATGATAACGACGACGATAAAGACACGTCGCGATAATAGTTACAGCAATCAATGATATTAATATAATAATTATTATTACTATTAGCTATAATAATTAATATAATTAATAATAATAAATATTATTATCTACAACAAACGAAACTGACTTCAAAGACCCTGGCACCGGCGTTCAAACCTTGAACAGACACGCCATACAACAGAGATAATTTCTCCAATGATCTATGGAAAGAATTTTAAAATAATAACTGAACGAACGAATGAATGAATAAAGGAATGAATGAATGGATGGATGGATGAATGAAAGAATGAATGAACGAGTAAATGAACGAATTAATCTATAAAATATAAAAATATTATTTTAATATTCCATTAATAACTCTTCTATTCTAGAAGAAAGTAAAAATATATCTAAACGAGGTCAGCAGATGTAAAAAATTTGTGCAATATAAAAAGTAAAAAATAGTCACTCATTAATTAACTGACCAACCAACCAACAAACCGACCGACCGTCCAACCGACCGACCAACCAATCAATCAACCAACAGACCCACCAACCAATCAATCAACCAACAGACCAACCAACCAACCGATTGACCAACCAACCAACCAACCTCTGAATAGCCTGTGTGGCCACTAAGAAGGACATGAGAATGCCGGCGTTTATTTCATTCTCAGACATCAACCAGCCGCCGACCAGTAACGTGCTTAAGATCAATCCTAAATTTATTTATGGATGTGCGTGAGTGTATGTGTGCGTGTTTCACTACTAAAATGATATTAAAAAAAGCCATAATAATAATAACAACAACTTCAAAATTAATAATAATAAAAATAATAATATTAATAATAATAATAACCGACCATTTAGAGCGACATTTGACAGTCCTTGGAAGGCAGCAATACCCAGACCTAGTTTCTTGTTGGTGATGGACGATTTGTCGGTCTCTCTATTGTAATGCCTGTCAAAATGATGTTGAAGATGACGGAGAAGATGGAGAAGACATCTTCGCTATCGCCGACAAAAACAACAACATCGTCCTCACTTGCATTCTCAACAATATCCCCCCCCCCCCATCAACAAAAACAACAAAATCATCATCGCAATCATCATTAACGACATCATCATCATGATCATCGCCACCATCATCACGTACTCTTCCTCAATGTTCTCCATTGCAAAAGCACGAACGGTTCTCAGGTTGCCAATGGCTTCTTCTGCCACGACTGTTGATTTGCTAGTCTGAGTGGTTGGTTTCGTGGTATCAGGTTGGTGTACAATACAATACACAGACAGACAACCAGACAGAGTGAGGCGCACACACACAGACAAACACCGCGAATCACACAGACAGACATCCCGAATAACATACAATCCTAGATTTTCAAATTTCTTTGCATATCAGTACATTTTTGATTGAATTTTAACTTCTCCATTTATTTGTCGGTTTATTAAATCACATGCTTAACAAATCTACATAAATAGACCGTGACTAAGCCTAACCTACAGACCTGTTTTTGAGCCATCCTAGACAAACTCCTCAATCCCCGACCGAGAATCGAACCCAGGACTATGATGCCCGCAACCAGACCGACCAGTGTAATGGTCAGTTTCGGAGACAACATCACCATAGTGACCACACAGCCCACAGTTTGGACAATATTTTTAAGGCCTTGTGAGATGCAAAGTTTGAAGGAGCTTTTGAATTCTTGTACATCAACTGTTAATCTGTATTATTATTAAAGTGCGTGCGTGTGTGTGCGTGTGTGTGTTATTAGTTTGGCTTTTAAATGATATTATTAAAATTAAATGAGAAAAAAAAGAATTTAAATCGCAATGAGAGTGAAGATTGAAATGATGATGAGGTGAAGGATATGATGATGATGATGACCTGTTAACAAGATCTCCAGTTCTGTGCCTATCAAAGAAGGCCACATCTTGCACAATGATCGAATGGAACAACATCTGCTTCAAGTCAGATGCCAGATTTTCGCCCAAGTTAAATAGGAATGTTATGTAGAGAGATGTCAAAAAACCCTTTACAACATTCAAAAATACTCACGTTAAACGTTTGAAACGATGACAATGAAACGATGAAACTTTAAAAAATTGTTCAAAAACTAAAAATACAAATTGGTTTAAAAATTCAACTAATGATGGTAACATTATACAATTGATCAACAACACATCGCTCACACAACAAAAACAAATGACGCACACAACAACACACACACACACACTGATACAGAATAGAACAATAGACACAAACAGCAATGACATGGACAATGGCCAAGAAGTAATGACTAAACCTGCATGCCATAAAAGAGAATTAATTTTTTGGCAGGCTGACTGATGGTCTCAACGAAATCTCTACTGTTAACACTGTTCTCGTTAGCAAACAACACCAATGCATTGACAACCTCTCCAAGTATCAGTGGGATTTGAATATTTAAATAAGCTACTGCTACTGCACCCTGCAATTTAATTGTTTGAAAAAATGAAATCACATTACTAAAAAAAATTTAAAATACAAAAAGTAAATTTGCTAAATAATTCCAAAAATTCATTCATTAAGTTTAATATCTTGCTTAGACAATAAAGAAACAAAATAAAAAAATTATGATGGAAAAAAGAATGATTGAAAACTTTCCCAAACTAACCCACCACAATTGCACTAATTAGCCAAAACATGTGAGGTTTCAGTAATTGGAGGAAATGGCCCCAAGGAAAATATAATTCTTCCTCCTGCTTTTTTTTCAACACAACATTATTATTCTCATCGACATCATCAATTATTTTTCTACCCTGCTGCTCTAATTTATCATTATTAGGTTTCTGTTGAAGACAAAATACTGTGCTTATACCAAAGGAACCAATAGTCAGTCCAGTAGGTAAACCTAGTCTTAAATATTTGAACCATCTCTTGAAGATATTTAAACTTTCTTTAGGATTTTTGCTTTTCTGTTGTACTAATTGGCTCACATTTGATGATTTCAGCAGATGACATTTTGTTTGAGTGGAACTAGTTCAAGTTTTTTAATAATGCAATAATATAATATTATTATAACAATTATTTAAAAAATTAAATAATAGATTTGAATAGAAAAATGTAACATTTATATAAAAATATAGCAATAATAAAAAGAGCATATATATCGTAACATAACATAACGAATGATAGAGTGTGAGTAAAACAATTTTATTTACAAAATTAAAAACTAACGTTGAACATTTTTTTACAAATGATCCCTGCTTGATCAACTTTCTTAATTGCCTAAAATTTGAATTAAAATTATAAAACATCGCGTCAGGAAAACTTAGTTATAAAAGTTAAAAGTTGGTTTGAAAAAAAATATTCATGATCTGCTCCGAGATTTCATTATTAACCAAACTGCTGAACCCGAGACTATATTTTTATCGTTTATGCCCAGCATTTTCAGCTTTAACTTAAGTTAACTTTTAAATAATTTTTTGTTAAACGATTAAAAGTAAAATTAAAAAGTGTTTACTTATTCTTTTTTAAAAACTTTTTTGCAGTACATTGCAGTGCCGGTCGTTAATGTTAATTTTGACGAAATTTCTTTTATGTGAATAAGGAAAAGCGTTTTTAAAGGCCTTGGTAGATTGGACTAAAGTTGAAGTTCGCTGTAAATAATTGAACTTATTCAATAAGTCTTATTGTTATGTGTGGGCTTTTTAAAAGCCTTAAATGTAATTAATTTAATATTAATTTAAAATTAATATTAATTTTTATTGAGCAACTTGCCAGGCTAGGATTGGTAGCACTTAGTTTATTCTTAGAAGAGGATAGGTTCGTTATCCTTCTTTGTTGGCTCGTTGCTTTTATTTAATTTTTGCATTATTGTAGAATAATTATATATATTTTTTGAATTAAATTTTAATATATTGAAGTTGAAAGTCTAGTGTCTACTCTACTAGACATGTCTAGCCTCTCTCTTGTTCTTTTAATTTTTAATTGATATCTGTTCTGTGACTGTTAATTATAAATATAATTAAATATTTTAATTTTAATGTAGGTTTTTTAAATTTAATATGTTAAAAAAGTAATGTAATTATTCAGTCAAACTTTTTGAAAGTTAATTTTTAATATTTAATTCAAATACTAATACAGTTGTTGAGTTGTTCAACATTACACTGAATATCTCATAAATGAAACAACTTATTGCTTATTCTTATTACTAAATTATGACGTCAACAACTGATTTGGAAGAAGAAAAAAGTTTTGTGGTTGATTGCTTTTTGCACCTAAGCAGATTTTCTCATGATAAACTTAAAGAATTAACTGTGAGTCCATTTTCTTTGCAAGCACAAAATTTTCAAAGCATGCAGTCAAATTAAGAAATAGTGAAAGATGAATGTCTTAACTAAAACATTTAATTAAAGATTATAAATTCATCTAATTCATTATTGTTTTTTGAAATTGTAATAATTTTATATTATAATTTTTTATATCTTAGTAATTATACAATGTTGTGATATCATTACAAAATGATCATAATTTGTGTAAATTATTTTTTTAAACAGCTTAAAGAAAAGGAAAAAGAAAGATCAAAATATCATGCAAACTTGCTATGGAGTTCATTTTTGAACTTGTTACTAACTTTTAATGACTTGGAGAAAACCTTCTACTCATTGGTTTTTCTCGGTTCTGCCAATTTTGGGGCTCGTCTGCTGCTTGGCAAACGAGATGATGTAATGTTTTTTACTATGCTAATCTTTTTAAGATATAAGTTTGAAAACATGATGTCACATAAAATTTTTTGCCAAAGTTATGACATTTATTTATTTGATATTTATTTTCACTTGAATTAATCCTCCAACACATTTATTCCAGACACTAAATGCTCGATATCGCTGCTTACTGTCTGAACTTCGCAAGATTGAGTTTGCCCATAAAGGTTCAATCTCCCCGCCCGACCCTAACAAGACGGTTTCATTTTCAGGCAAATCCCAGTCGGACCCATCATTTTGTGTCGATGCAGATGTTTTGAAAAAATGTACAACCTTAGAGCAACTTGCCGGCATTGTTTGTGAACAGCTTCAGCATTTTGTACTTGCAAGGATGAACACTATATCATTGTTTGCTCACTTTTTGAAATATTTCTATTTTTTATTACTTTTAATGCTTTAAAATTATTTATGAGTGTCATGCGTTGTTTGATGCATTGATCCCCTTGTTATCTATTTGTCAGTTTCAAGTTCACATCATCCTGTAGTATGCTTTAGCAAGACATATTTTTTATTGCTATTCATATTAAAATTGCAACTAAAAAAATAAAGGAAACGTAAACATTTTTGAAGTTATGAACAGATGCCAGCGCTGAACAACAACAAAAATGTCAGTGTTGATGATTTGTTGAAGACGATCTCAACAACATTAGAAGAACTTCTGTCAAAAGTCAATCATCCTGTTGTTGAGAAACTTAGATCCACATACAAGTCCCTCATAATTTATAGTATAATTACTATTCATACTACGACTAATATTATGTAATTTTTACATCACTTTATCTTAGCGTCGGTGGCAGTAAAATATTTTCAGTACTTTCGTTATTAAGATTGCTTACCACTGTTAATCCTGATATAACTTACGTGTTACTCTGATTAGTTTTTGTAATTATAATTGCATTAAAATGGCATCAGGATGGAGTGTGAAACAGTGGTGAATCTGTTGAAGACACAACTCAACCTTCAGAAATGCCAGTACTTGGATTCGTTGCTGAGTTTGCAGAGTGCCAGCCACAACCTCAACACGTGGTCCAACATGCTCACTCCCAGAGAGGTTAAGAATTAGTAGAAATAGGGATGGGTGTCGTGTAGAACATTTTCATTATAATATTGATTGTTTATTAGATTAGTCTTTGGAATTTTATCCATTGGTTGTTTTTTTTTATAAGTTTTTACATTTCTAGGCAAGGAGATCAACATTTGGATCGAATGTTCAAAAGCCAGCATCTTCTGAGCTGTTTGACTGGTTGAACAGATTCAAAAATCTCCTGCTCTCAAAATTTACTCTCTACTTCTTTGAAGTTCTCAGTCAACAAAGTGGAAGCCCTAGTGAAGTTAAGACGTTCCTAGCCAAAACCTTTTTTGATTTCTATAACAGGTCCTTTGATGTTCTATGCTGTACGTGTGTGTGGTGTGTGTGATGTTATACTTTCTTTTAATTAAACTATAGCATTAGCTCAGGTTAAACACGTTTAACTTGATTCTGTGTTTCCCAATAATTTTTTCATTATGATATTTTTATTAAAACATTTTTAACTTTTTTTATCAAAATTTTTCTACCTGATTTCTCTTACACATAATGACAGAATCATAGCCTTTACGAAAAGATCAGATGCATGTTCCATATTGTTGATCTCATCAGGACAGTTGGAGCAGGTGCTTGCCTGCAAGAAACTCGGCTACAACTTGCCATGCAAAAGTATCATCATCCCCTACGACGCTGATAAAAATGTTGACAAAGTTGGACAGAATGTTGGGATCAAATCGCCAGAACAACCAGTTGTCGTCTCTCAAGTTATGTTGAAATCATCCTCTGCTGCCGACTTTCACAGAAATAACATTGTGCTGTTTGCCTACCCTCATGTGAGCATTTGTGTTATCATCATGAGGCGATACTTTATCATCAAGTATTTTTTAAGTGCGATTTTTAAGTAACGTCTACCCATTTTTAAATGCTAAAAACTTGATGCCAGTAGCTTTGCAATTTCATCATTCGATTATTTAAAATAATTATCACTCACACCAAGCTAATTATTCAAACCAGTAAACAACTAACGAATTAACCAAATGAAATTTCCAACAAACAAACAAACGAACGAACAAACACATACAAACACGCGATAGGACAAATCAGCGGAGAGACACTACTGCCACATCAACAACATGCTGAACACGAGGAAACAGGACCTGGACCAACAGGATAGGATCATTTACGCCATTGATGTCGTTAGTATACGCACGGACTCATATCGTTATTTCATTGTTATGTTTGTTGGTGTGTACGACTAACACTTCAACGAAAAAGTACAAAATTAAAGACTAAGAATTTTAATCACTTGTGCTTCTAAAAAAGCTGAAACTGATGAAACACAGTCATTTAGGCGTAATTATTGATTTGACTAACATCAAATTTGCATCATCTGGAGCGTTTTTACCTTTTAACAATAAAATTGTCATTAAATAAAATAAATTATTGTACGGACAGAAACAGCAATGCACAAGTGTCATGACCAAGGTCGAAGGTTCCATCTACTTGGTCGTCCTGTTGAACAGAAAGTACATGAAACCAGATACCCACATAACAAATTTCTGTACGTCGCTCTGCACCGACTTGAGATGCAGCAAACATTTTACCGGTATCAAATCGGGCGCTAAATAAATTCATTACTGAACGGTTGTTCTTCTGTGGTGCTGAAAAAAGTAGTTGAGCTACGGCTGATCAGTTTTATATTTGCATGTGCAAAAGTACGCATGTACGTTTTATATGTATGTTTGTTCCGTACACCGCAACAACATGTCAATATGTGTGTATAATACCATTCGTCGGACCAATAAATGATTACGTAAAATAAATTGTTTATTTTGATTTAGGAATGTGGCGGCAAATAAAATGTGAGGGGCCAAACTGCTAGACTATTAACTACTACTTGCATAAAAAGTAATTTTTTGTACAATTACAAACGCATAACATAAGCGTAAACAATATAAAACAACGCTAACAAACATTGCTTACCATAGGAGCAAATTTCAACACACTTTAACATTTAAATTTCCTGGAATACACTTACGAAACAAAAAAAAAAAATCCTAATCATTAGTAATGGCAAGGAGCCAGAACAATGACCAAATAGGCAGAAATGTTAGATTAACAAGAGCATAGGTCCAAACATCGAAGAGATAATATTGAATAGATGATAGGAGGTGAGCGTCTTGCACGTCATACCAAACTTTTCTTGCCAGAACAACCAAGCCATCGTCATTCGTTGATTGGTTGATTATCAATCGATTGACGAGCCCACCGATTGTTAGGATTCCGAGAGGAGAGAGAATCAGAAGTATGGAGCACTTTAGTACCTTCAAAATCCTGTCGGTTGGTTGTGCGTAACATATTGATTACAATAAATTACTGTCGCCTGTTGTTAATTTACGATTTAAAATTGTCATTTTTTTATTACAATCTGCATTAATACGATAGTAAAAATTTACGTCAGTTACATTTCCACTTTTATTAAGCATAACAGCAATCGATCTAACTAAGCACCATGAAACAAAACTAACGTGTACTTAGTGGGATTATTGATAAGGACAATTGGAACCCATAAGGTGGCCATAAAGAACCCCATGGATACGTTCATCACAGATATCGTACCAAGCACGATGCCAAATATCATCAAAGTTATGCAGTTAATGACGTTTCTGTTGATCTTGAACAACTTCACGTCACCTCCACCGGCCTTGCTGCTGTACCTTTGATGATGTCGATGGATGGCGTGGATATATTTATATTTGAGAAATTTATTTATTCATCGTTAAATATCGTTGTACGTTATATTATCCTACAGACTATAACATAAAATGCACGCATAACAGTATGACGACATGAAGCGTCTGTCTGTACATATGTGTGGAAAGCATTTCATCAACTATCGCAAACAAGAAGGCAATAAAAACCAGTGAAATTTATAAATACACTTTCCACAACTAACAGTGAAATTTAGAAATACACTTTCCACAACTAACTTTTGTATCATAAATGGATGAGTGATACTGAAGAAGTGAATGATGATGAGGCAGATAGATAAACCCTCCTCTGGACTCAGACCAAATCTCTCGGATGATTGGATGAAGAAGTCATCAAAACAAAACACGAACAGACCGATGATTAGAGATGTAAGCAGGTAGAACAAGTGGCTCAGCTTGTCTATAGGCTCCTTAATCTGCAATTGATCATATTCGATTCAAACTTTTCATAATCATTATTGTTGGTGTCGACATAAAAACAACCATCATTACATTCTTCCTCAACATTACCATCATGATCAAAATAGTTTGACATCATTTGTTACATGTTCAGTCAAAATTCATGTCACAATCTGTTTTAAAAGTTTTTTTTCTCTAAAACGGTTGGAATTAATGATTTAAGATCAACCCAACCTTAGCCTCATTTTTTTCTTTGTCCTTCCCATCTTCATCACCATTTGTAGCACCGCCAGTAACGCCTTCAGCCTTGCAAGTGACACCATCATTTGCATCATTCTTCTTCTTATCATCACTATCATTATCACTGGTTTGTTTAATTACGTCGTCATCATTCTTTTCAGTTACATTCTTTTCATCTTCAATCATTTTCTTCTTCTCATCTCCTTTCTCGTCATCATCAGTTTTTACGATGGCAAGCCAAGACGAGATCATGTGATCATCATTAGGTAAAGAATATTTAATGAATAAAAAAGTATTTTGAACAAAATTATCAAAATTATTCAAATAAACTCAAATAATACAAGCACACATACAAACACACACACACAAACACACGGACAAAGATATCTTAATGACGATAGGCAGCAGCATGATTCCGAGTGGAGGCATGTAGACGCCGATGGAGATGTACCTATCTGGAGAGGGAAGAAGGTAGAAGAAGAACGATTGATGAAAACGTTCCAGCAAATTGTTCAAACTTCTGAATATTCCTTCAAAGGCTCTGGAGATGAGAATGATTATTAATGTTAGTATTGTATAGTATAGAGCACAATAATCATGTTATTCAATATTCATGTTATCATTTTCACCATAATCCTTTTCTGTCTCCTCATCATCCTCTCAACAACATCAGTGTAATTATTAAAATCGCTAGCAAGTCATCATAATTGACACCATCCAACCAAGTAACAAACCTTCCAACATCTGTGAAATCCAACTGCTTTCTACTCTTTGACTTGAACCCTTGAATGGTGACGGCATCAATGTTGAATTTATGAAAATATCCATGGTTCCCAGTGGGAATTCCCGAAGCCTGGTTCCACATCATTATTAACATCTGCTTTGTTGAGTGTAAGTAACGTTGCCATTCACTTGAACTGTACTCCCTGATCTGTTTGTGTAAATTGCAACAAGATCTAACAGATGTATTCTACACATATAAGTTAAATGCTATTGAAAATGTTCTTAACACTATGACAAAACCTTTTTCTGAATAATAATCCTCAACCCTTCTTTATGGAACAGTCTCTCAACCGTATTGAAAAGATCCAAGTTGGGCAGTCTTCCATTGACTCCTTCAAACTTGACATTGACTCGACCTACATATTTTGAGGTCAACTCGAGATTAAGAGCTGCCTGGATTGACCCTGATCTCCCTGGCAGAACTTCTGCTTTTATGTCTAAATGTGTGATGTTTTTTGAGAAAGGAATTTGCCAAAGTTGTTAGCTTTTTGAATTAGTTTCATTATTTTCCTGATCAATTCACAATTTATATTAAATTTTAAAGTAGATAATATACTAAAGCATTTATTGAATTGAAAGTACAAAAAATACAAGCTACGCACATTTGTTAGGTATGTGATGGTAGGAGGATAGCCAGGCCTGTATTCCAATTTCTTTATTGTCTGTCACCAAGAATATAATGTCTTTCGCCCAGTAACTGTTTCCTGGTTTGTTGTTGTTCAAAATGAAAATGAAACTTTGAGTGTTCTTTTTTATCATAAAATACCATATGCACTACGACAATGTTAATTTTTAAATGATAACTTTTATGAAAATGTTGTAAAACTAACAAATCTACATCTAAAAAAAACATTTATGAAAATAAAATACACCAGTACAACATCACTACAAGACAAAATAACAAACATAAAAATTTGAAAAAAAAAGTTTTCAATAATATAGAAATAAAAAACAATAAACAAAAAACTACTTCTGAAAGATTTAGCAAGAGCAAGCATGAGAGCAATGCCAGGGTAGGTAGCATCATGGCCGTCGAGCTCGGGACCAAACGGGACTGACAGGACTAATGCCTCTGTACCTGAGGTACGGGGCGCACGCATAATTGCATACACATTCTGTCCTGTCAGGGTCTGTTAGGTAACAAAAATTATCTCACTTTATGAGGTAACAAATATTTCAACTGATATATATCTAACCAAAATCAAATGAAAAATTATGATATGAAATGAAGTATATTAATTAAAAACAGTCTAATAGAAATAAGTTGAATGATAAATGAAACTATTTAAAATAAATCAGCTATAGTAAGTGCAACTCTTAAAAAACCTGACTAGAAATAAAATTTATATTAAAAAACTTTTAACCTTATCACTATAAACACCAAATGGATATTTGAATGTGTAGTTTTGAGTGTATGTGTCCAGGCCAAGTTTTCTGAACTTTTTCAATAACCAGTTTGATGGGATTTGATACCTTTTGAATGAATAAAAAAATGAATGATGGCTTTTAAAATCTTTAAAAAATAGAATGTAATAACAATGCAATGAACATTTGTTGGCTTAAAAACTAAAAATCAAACTTAAAAAGTAAAAGTATCATGTTTTAATAATTATATTATAATACAAAAAATCCCAAGTTAATCATAATGTAAAACTGTTTAAATTAAAGTTATACTAATTATAGCATTATATTAGTAATCTAACATTTCATCAGACATATGCCTTTCTTTCATTATATCTGTCAGCTCATTATAATAACTATCAGCTCCAAAATCATGGTAAAATTCAGAATCAACCAAACCTTTTGAAAGGAAAGGTTAATAAATATGAGTTACTAAAATATTTCTGTGATTCAGTAATGTAAAAGTAGTAATAATAAATAATGTTAATATTTGTTACAACAGTTCTAAGGTGACAAAACATTAGTTGTAAAAAACAATTTATAAACTGAAAAAATATAAGAAATGATACAGCAAATAGATTAAAAAGCTAACCAGGTAGCAAGGCATTTTCTGAGAAGTAAGTTGAGGAGCTCATCTCATGATGGGGGAGAGCCAAAAACCAAAACAGCCCCACAATATAACACAAAAAACAGATCTTATTATTAAATCGACCTAGCAAATAAATTATATTAGATTGCGTTTTTAATTCGGATAAAACCGACATCGCGCACCGATTTTGTTTGTTTTTTAAATTTGAAGAAAAGTAATTTCAGACGACAAAACTTAATTCACTTTTGCTAGTTTTTTATCACTCAATCCATAGAAACTTTGCAGTAAATTTAATAAACACAAGCCATACATAGAAAACGACACAAGACAAGTCAGCGTTCAACAATGGACAATTCGTTGCGAAATCGTTGGAGGAATTGGTGTCATGTTAACAGTAGTTATTTTACTGCATGGTAGTTAATCAGCCGGTATAAAGGTTATATTCAATTCCTATCAAATAAATTTGACAAAATATCAGAACTAAATAAAGAAATAGATAGATAGATAGATAGATAGATAGATAGATAGATAGATAGATAGATAGATAGATAGATAGATAGATAGATAGATAGATAGATAGATAGATAGATAGATAGATAGATAGATAGATAGATAGATAGATAGATAGATAGATAGATAGATAGATAGATAGATAGATAGATAGATAGATAGATAGATAGATAGATAGATAGATAGATAGATAGATAGATAGATAGATAGATGGATAGATAGATAGATAGATAGATAGATAGATAGATAGATAGATAGATAGATAGATAGATAGATAGATAGATAGATAGATAGATAGATAGATAGATAGATAGATAGATAGATAGATAGATAGATAGATAGATAGATAGATAGATAGATAGATAGATAGATAGATATACGTAGTTATAATACATTTATAATGTATTTACACATTCAAATTGTACAATTGCGTTATAGTGTAGTCTCAAATTATTTTGAATTCTCTCAGAAAATTTTAAACATTTTACTATACTATATATTTTAGTTATTTTTATCAACAATTTAAAAATTTTATCAATAATTAAAATAAAATTCAAGTTGATTTCATTGCGATATCGATAATGATTTTTGTAATCTGACTGATTAAAAAGCATCAATGAAAGTTAAAATTGGATGGAGAAATTGTTATATTGGGATATTCGTTTAAAAAGCGAGCAAAATTTTAATATAAAAGCGCTTATAAATCTACACATATTGGCTCAGCTTGGTTTGGTTCGGCTTGGAATCGGATGTTAAGCAAGGTGTGGTCTCAAACTATTTTGAAATCTCCCCAAAAAATTTGAACTGCGTACGTACATATATAGCAATAATTACTGTTGTTTTTATAATGAATTTATAAAATATATAAATATAGCGAGCAAAATTTTAACATAAAAGCGCTTATAAATTTATGCATATTGGCCCAGCTTGGCTTGGCTCGACTTGGAATTGGATGTTAAGCAAGGTGTGGTCTCAAACTATTTTGAATTCTCCCCGAAAAATTTGAACTACGTGCGTACAAATATAGCACTGACTAACTGACTACTGTTGCTTTTATAATAAATTTATATTACAACCCATATATATATATATATATATATATATATATATATATATATATATATATAAAGTAACTGGAATCCATGTATACAAATAATTAATAAGATTATATGTTTATATGAAAAGCAATATAGCAGATTCAACCAGCCAATCAGAAAGTTTCGAAGGCATTCGTTCGATGACGTCAATTTAGTACAGTTAGCATTGTGGTTAAGACTGTATAATAGTGTAGTACATACATTAAATAAGTTTTTTACTGATGTGAATGATTTAAGTGATGAGAATGTATGGTTGAAACGAGTATAAATAGAGGAGCTGAGACAGCATGAAAATCAGATCAGGCATTCTACCTCGCTTGAAGCAGTCTGTCTGATATCATTTATTTTAATTTTTTTATTTTATTATATAGAGTTATATAGAGTTTGCATGTTTGTAGGTAGTTTGAATGTTTGTAGATGGTATTTTTTTATTTTAGGTGGGTTCTTTAGCGGTTGCTTATACATACATACATACATCATGTTTGTTTGTGTGGTAGTATTTTATGTTCTGTTTCACTCCTTTTTCTCTTTCTTCATGAGTCTTGAGTTAAGTTAATGAAACATAGGTAGGTGAGATTGAGAATTAATTTATTATATAGGTAGGCTAGGGCATAAGGTAATTTAGTTACATAGGTAGGTTAGGGAATTCTTTTCTTTTACTCTTACTTGGTGGTGTGTTTTTCGTTTGTGTTTTTTTGTTTTGTTTCACGCCATACATTCAGCAGGTACGCGGTGGTTCCTGGTTTTAGTCGGATTTTTATTTATTGAATGTGGTAGTATGCATGGTTATTATAGAGTTATATAGAGTTATATAGAGTTATATAGAGTTATATAGAGTTATATAGAGTTATATAGAGTTATATAGAGTTATATAGAGTTATATAGAGTTATATAGAGTTATATAGAGTTATATAGAGTTATATAGAGTTATATAGAGTTATATAGAGTTATATAGAGTTATATAGAGTTATATAGAGTTATATAGAGTTATATAGAGTTATATAGAGTTATATAGAGTTATATAGAGTTATATAGAGTTATATAGAGTTATATAGAGCATAAATCCTATATAGATACCTTTCTTTGCTCTTCTTTTCTCTTTTCTTTGCCGCCCGGTCGGTTTCTTTGCGGTTATTTTCATTTAAATTAAATAAATAAGATTTTTCCATTCATTTAGGTTTTTCAGGTTCATTTATCCAGGTTGAAGCTTCCAGAGGAGTTCATCGTGGACGATCAGAATGGTTGTGATGTCACGCTACGTTCGTTCATTCGGTGGCAAAGAATGCACGCCCTGCTGGAGTACGTTTTACGGTTTTTTTGCGGTTTTTTTTGCCTGTTGGTTGGCTTTTCCGGCGGGTTTCACCGCGGCTCGTTTTTCTATTTTCATTTAAATTAGTCAAATAAATAAGATTTTTCCATTTCATCCATTCCATTCAGGTTGAAGCTTCACCGTGGAAGATGTCAGGCTACGTTCGTTCATTCAATGGCAAAGAATACACGCCTGGCTGGGATACGTTTTCTTTTTTCTCTGTAATTTAACATTAAGTAGGAATGCATACACGCACAAACATACACACACAATTACATTAAGTAGCTATATAGGTAGGTTAGATAGGCATAATTTTAATTATAGGTAGGATAGATAGGAAGCATCCAACACTAATGTAGTTGAATAGGTAGGCGCGTAAGTTTATCGCTTCTATTTTTTTTTGCACCCACATTGCACGCATCAGCGTATTACACACACACACACAATTGCATACATAAACACATATGTTAGTATTTGAGCGTAATTTTATTTTCATTACACATTCTAATTTATTATTACTAAGGTTGAGAGTAATTTAATTTCATAGGTAGTTAA